TTGGTTGCCGTAACAGCAATGAGGACTTCTTGTACAAGGATGAGTGGAAGGTATGTTTGCAGTCTTCTTGTGAGCACATTTGGAGCCGTTTGTCTAACTCTTAATAGGTCTATCAAAAGAAACTTGGAGACAAGCTCAAGATCATCACTGCCTTCTCTCGCGAGACCGCGAAGAAAGTGTACGTCCAGCACCGACTGCAAGAGCATGCCGACCTTGTTAGCGATCTCCTGAAGCAGAAGGCCATCTTTTACGTCTGTGGAGATGCAGCCAACATGGCTCGGGAAGTCAATCTTGTCCTTGGTCAAATCATTGCCAAGTCTCGGGGCTTGCCCGCTGAGAAGGGCGAGGAAATGGTGAAGCACATGCGGAGCAGTGGCAGCTACCAGGAGGATGTCTGGTCGTGATTTGGCTTGTTCGACAGTTTCATCTACCTTTACTAATGCTTCTTGTCGTGACATTTCCCTCTTCTCCTTGTCTCTTTTTTTCTGACGCCTAGATGATATCTGCATATATACACCGCCTGGTTTGATTCTTATTCGTCGTTTTTAGGCGTGTTTTGATGGATGCATGTTGCTCTGTTTTGTGCTTGAATAGGGTCGGCTCTATGATAGATGGTCACGACCATCGGCTTCAGCAGCTATCATTGATTGGGAAGGATAGAGGATGGAGACATCAAAAGAGGTGACAAGGGGACGAATGAATGAATTCCAGGATATTCTCGAGTCAATATTGACACAATGAAATTGCACAAAAAAGGCATTACTCCGTCAGCTCGCGTGTTTGCAATCGCCTGCAAATAGAGATTTGAATGTAGAGCTTAGATCACAGTGGACGTTCTTTCTTTTTGAGGTTGTTCAAGTGAACATCCACGCTTATGTACCTTAGTCCGTGTCGGCCATAGAGTCGGAGATAAAAAATCAGGAATTAATGGAACCCGCAAGCAATCGTCATTCCCTAAGTCGACGTTCGGGCCCGATATGATCCTGGTAGCTAAGGTAGTAGCTCAAAGTGAGCTTTTCCATCTTTCTGCATCCCCATTCGAGCCAGCATTCGAGCATCAGTATCATTAACCTGAAAAGGAGCGATGCAGATTATTGCTATATTTTCTGCGCTTGATCTAAGGCTGATCTAAATCTCGTCGCTGGCCGCGTTCCTCTCCTACCATCCCCGCAGTTATCGGCAAATTACCACGAACGGCCCAATCCCGGAACTTCTATTGATAGTCGTGAAGACTACGCAGTCGGTACGATGGCGTACGTCGTTCCAATTCATCGGGCGAGCAGCATTCGTCATGCTCTCAAGCTGAATTTCTTGAATTCGGAGGAGGACTGTCTGGTCGTCGCGTGGGTGACCCTCTAGTATCGGTGACTGATCTCGGGCTATCATATGGATATTGGCTGACATTCTTTTATTTGCTGATTACAGGAAGTCTAATCGGCTCGAATTCTACTCTCCCACACCAGATGGATTGGATCTTGTGGCCTCGTGCGCCATCTATGCGAGGGTGACGATGTTGGCTCGCCTTCCCGCCCCGGCTAATTCCCCTACGGACCATCTATTCGTCGGCACCGATCGATACACCTACTTCACACTATCTTGGGACAGCTCAGAAAAGCGAGTCCGCACGGAACGGGACTATGTCGACATGTCGGATCCGTCATCGCGGGAGTCGCAAACGGGAAACCGATGCTTGATCGACCCAAGCGGACGGTTCATGTCCTTAGAGATATATGAAGGTGTTATTGCAGTCATACCGATTATTCAACTGCCCAGCAAGAAAAGAGGGAGGGCTGTCGCGTTGCCCTCAGGCCCTGATGCTCCACGGGTGGGGGAGTTGGGAGAGCCGACAACAGCAAGAATTGAGGAGCTGTTTGTCCGCTCGTCGGCGTTCTTGCATGTGCAAGAAGGGCTTCCACGCCTGGCTCTACTGTACGAAGATAATCAGAAGAAAGTCAGACTGAGGGTGCGGGAATTACAATATCATGCGGCGACCGGAAGCAACAGCACTGCCGACGCTACATTCGGGGAACCGGCGGACTTTACACAAGACCTGGAACTCGGGTCTTCCCACCTGATCCCAGTGCCTGCTCCATTAGGTAACTTCCCATAAACTCTGTGTTGCTCGCGGATGGGGTCGTTCTCCATGCTAACATAGACAGGCGGGCTTCTCATTCTCGGGGAAATGTCGATCAAGTACGTCGACGCAGATAATAACGAAATCATATCCCGTCCCTTGGATGAGGCGACCATTTTTGTGGCCTGGGAACAGGTGGATAGCCAGCGGTGGCTACTGGCTGACGATTATGGGAGGCTCTTCTTTTTAATGTTGGTCTTGGACTCTGACAGCCAAGTCGAGAGCTGGAAACTAGACCATCTGGGCAATACATCCCGTGCATCCGTCTTAGTATACCTAGGCGGTGGTGTCCTGTTCCTGGGTTCGCATCAGGGAGACTCTCAAGTACTGCGCATCAGCAATGGACCGTTGGAAGTGGTACAAACCCTGTCAAACATAGCGCCGATATTGGACTTTACGATAATGGATCTCGGCAATCGCTCGAGTGAAAGTCAGACCCACGAATTCTCGTCAGGCCAAGCAAGGATTGTCACTGGCTCCGGCGCCTTTGACGACGGAACGCTCAGGAGCGTCCGCAGCGGAGTTGGAATGGAGGAGCTGGGTGTCCTAGGTGACATGGAGCATATCACGGACCTGTGGGGCTTACGGGTAAGAAGCCCCGGCGATTTCTTGGACACGCTTTTGGTCACATTCGTCGACGAGACCAGAGTATTCCGTTTCAGTACCGACGGCGAGGTCGAAGAGATGGACCAGTTTCTTGGGCTGAGCCTTTCAGAAAGCACACTTCTTGCGGCCAATCTACCCGGTGGGCGAATATTGCAGGTCACTGAGCAGAGGGTGCTCATCGCAGAGGTAGAGGGTGGAATGGTAACTTACGAATGGACTCCACCGAATCAGTTCATTATAACTGCCGCCTCTGCCAACGATGACTCAATCGTTCTTGTTGCAGGCGGCGAGCTTGTGACAGTCTTGGATGTTACCAACGAAGTCCAGATCGTGGCACAGAAGGACTTTGGGGCAGATAGTCAGATTTCTGGTGTCACAGTACCCTCATCGCCGACCGGGGTCTGTATTGCCGGATTTCCTCAGCTGGCAAAAGTCTCGGTACTAAAGCTTCAGGATCTGTCTGAGCTTCATACGACGTCAGTTGGCCTGGCGGGTGAAGCTTTTCCTCGTTCGGTTCTCGTGGCGAACGTGCTCACGGACAGCCCGCCTACTCTCTTCGTTTCCATGGCGGATGGGAGTGTGATCACTTACTCGTTTAACACGAATGACTTCTCATTGACTGGCATGACCAAGCTAATATTGGGCTCTGAGCAACCTACTTTCAAGAAATTACCAAGAGGCAATGGCTTGTTCAACGTCTTCGCTACATGCGAGAACCCTAGCATGATATATGGATCAGAAGGGCGGATTATATACTCTGCAGTAAACTCCGAAGGTGCCTCCCGGATATGCCATTTCAACTCGGAGGCCTACCCAGAGTCGATAGCAGTTGCAACATCTCATGACTTGAAAATCGCTCTCGTGGACAAGGAAAGAACAACACAAATCCAAACACTCCCGATCGGGGCAACGGTCCGAAGAGTGGCGTACTCGCCTTCTGAGAAAGCTTTCGGTATTGGTACCATCGAACGGAAGCTCGTCGACGGAGCAGAGATCGTCAAAAGCAGATTCGTGCTTGCTGACGAGATATTGTTCCGGCGCCTTGACGCTTTCGAGCTGCGGCCAGAGGAGTTAGTGGAAAGCGTCATCCGTGCGGAGTTCCCCGCGGGCAAAGGTGCAAATGACAGAGATGAGGTCAAGGATCGATTTATCGTTGGGACAGCGTACTTGGACGATGAAGGGGACGAGTCAATCCGTGGTCGCATCCTAATCTTTGAGGTTGACAATGGCCGAAAACTGACTCAGGTTGCTGAGCTACCCGTCAAAGGAGCATGCCGAGCATTGGCCATGCTAGGGGACAAAATAGTGGCTGCACTCGTCAAGACAGTAAGCATACATTCTATCGTGGTTCACCTCTTTCTAGACTGCCCTGCTAACGTTCCACCAAGGTCGTTGTGTATAGAGTCATTAACAACAATTTCGGCGCCATGAGACTCGAGAAGCTGGCCAGTTATAGGACCTCGACTGCACCAGTGGACGTAACGGTGACGAGCAATTTAATCGCCGTCTCCGATCTAATGAAGAGCATGTGCCTTGTGGAGTATAAGGAGGGCGAGAACGGCACGCCAGATACAATGACAGAAGTTGCGCGCCACTTCCAGACTGTATGGGCCACCGGTGTTGCCAACATCGCTCCGGACACTTTCCTCGAGAGTGACGCTGAAGGTAATTTGATTGTCCTTCATCGTAACACCACTGGTGTTGAGGAGGATGATAAGCGTCGCTTGGAAGTGACAGGTGAGATTTCGCTGGGCGAGATGGTCAACCGCATCAGACCGGTCAACATCCAACAATTGGCTAGTGCGGCTGTTACTCCACGAGCATTCTTAGGCACTGTGAGTTTCTCCCTTGTCTTTCTCACGAATTCTGCGAGACGACTGACCGAACCAATCTCAACCACAGGTGGAAGGTTCTATTTACCTATTTGCTATCATCAACCCTGATCACCAAGACTTCTTGATGCGTCTGCAAGTGGCAATTGCAGGAAAAGTCGAATTGGTGGGAAATATGCCATTCAATGAGTTCCGGGGCTTCCGCAGTATGGTGCGTGAGGCTAAAGAACCGTATCGCTTTGTGGATGGAGAGCTCATTGAGCGATTCCTCACTTGTGAGCCGAGCGTGCAGGAAGAAATCGTCAGTACAGTGGGCAAAATGAGTGTAGACGAGGTAAAAGGGATGATAGAAGCACTCAGAAGACTGCATTAGATATCTCTTGTGCTTGGTGCATTTCTACGGGTCCATCTTAGAACGAGTTCCACTTGATGATACGATTGAACAATTGCACGGCTTGATGATAGAATAGTGACATCGAGTTTTTGAGAATATAGTTCGAGTACATAATCTATGGGCACCTATAAAGACAGGAGCCGTGCCTGGCCGCGTCGTCGCTGGTACGTGAGAAGAGCCTCAACAGAACATGAAGGTTTATCAATTATACAGCGGGTGAAGGAAAGCGGTTATTAAGACGGATAGGAGTAATTAGGCCAAGAGCAACGTGACCAGCTCTGAAGTCGACGAACGGCACCGAAAAATGAGGTTTACCTCTCACTCCTCTTTTCTCTCCTCCTGCTTCTTCTCATCCTCCGATTCACTCCAATCGAGCAATTCCATGAGCTGCTCATCTGACAACTTCTCCGTCTGCTGCTCCGCTTCCCGTTGCAGCTCCTTCATATACTTCTTCTGGCGCTTCCGTGCGTGCTTCCCCCACTCCGGCACACCACTGGCGGTAGCAAAGTCCTCGCCGCTCTCGATCTCATCGTCCGTATTGTCAACCTCGCCTAGCACTTTGCCGCCACCGGTGGCGCCACCACGCAGCGCATTAGCGGACATCTTGGCCTTGTTCTTTCTCTTGGCTTCCCGCTCTGCCTTTTCCTTCTCCAATTGCTTCTTGCGGTCTTTTTCGGCCATTTTGCGGAACCAGGCTTCGATGTAAGGACGGATGAGGATGTAAACGACGACGGAGACGATGATTTTCGTCCAGCGCTTGGCGCTCATTTCGACGAATGATTTGTAGAGATTCTTGAAGAATCGTCTGAAGATTGTTTCGACGAAGGTGTAGAGTTGGCCGAAGAAGTCGTTTAGAGCGTCGGATACGACGGAGGAGGATTCGGAGGTCGCCATGGTGGATGGTGATGTGACCAACGGACTTGTCGCTCCCTTATGCGTTTTGGAATCAGGTCTCGCAGATAATAAACTCGAGGAGAACTGGAGTAGAACGGGGGAAGGGGAGGAAAAAAAAAAGTATCCCAATGCCAATCCCGAAGAAGCGGGTCGGAGGGGAAGGTGGTACGGAGTAGCAGAGATGAGGACCGCTTTCGCTGCGAGATTTATTGTCCTCAGAAGCAAGACACAAAATCCAAGGCCTGCCTAAGTTTGTCACAGAGGACGCACGATAGAAAGGTCTTGCATTGAGCAAACACCTTGGATAAGGAGTACCTGCAGTCTCGATGCTCTTCGCCGAGCAGAATTCCGTAAAAGGTAATATTCTTTTGCGGGTTAGCGGGATCTACGCCGCAGGCACGTGACAGCAGCCAAGCACGCGAATGGGCGTCTAAAGCTCCAGGACGCGTTTATACGGCTTTCGCGAGATTAGAGAACCAGTTAAGCGAAAAGTGTCGTTCTTATTTGTACAAACGTCCATATAGCGACTGTATGTTCTGGACACGAAAATATGGATCCGAACGAGGAAGTCAGCCTTGAAGAGGTATGCAATATCTAGATCGCGCTCTTCGGGGTATGCTTCTGTTGCTAATTCTAGTGATAAACCCGTTCTAGCGTTTGAAATCCGCTCTTTGGCTTTCCATTGGCAAGATTGTTGACGAGGAAACCATCAAGCTCGGCGTCAACGCTACTCCTCAGTTCATTGGAGCTCTGACAGAGATGGTCTGGGCTCAAATTGGTATGTGTATCATGTCAACCTGCTTGTCTGCACCCCAACTCGCTACAGGCGGAAGACACCGTGTTTGATATAGGTGAACCATGGAGGATTTGAGCTGATGGTGTCTAATTTACAGAAACTGTTAGCCAAGATCTGGAGTTCTTTGCCAAGTGAGTTATCCTTGTCTGGTCTTATTGAATGAGTGTTACTGTGTTGCAAATTTGCTTCTTGCACGGATGCTTGGTCCTAGGATTTTTCCCGAAAGCCGGCTGACAAGGTGCCTCCGCTGCAGGCACGCCGGCCGCTCTACGATCAATGTCTCTGATGTGATGTTGCTTGCGCGCCGCAACGAAGGGCTAGAATCGATCCTCCGAGCTTTCGTTGATCAGCAGCGCGAAGAGGAATCTTGATCCGATGCGCGTGATGGTGCCTTCTGATGCACAAGTCTCGCACATAGGCCGGTCGACTGGCTCGACTCCTATTAATGGATCGAATAAGCTGCCAGTCACAGCTCACCAGAACCAATCGCAAAAGGCAAGGTACTTTTGAACTGTTTTCGAGTGATCTCATGCCTCAATTACTCATGGTCACGCTAGCGGATGTATCTGCGCCTGTCATAGTGGGAACCCGCCAAGATATCTCCCCGAGTTTCATTATGACGCCACTTCCCCACATTATGCCCGCATAAGATAACATCGCTTGCAAGGCCACTGGAATCCGATTTGATAGACGCCACAGCTGCCATTGCAGCGTCGCCTTCGTTGCGGGGAACTTGAGCTCGATCACTTCCTTGATGCCAGAAACTTTGCCTGCGTACCCTGTATCGTCGACTGATCATGGTTACACATTGATGATATGAAGCGTCAGGTGAACCCATGGCTCCGAAATCTCCTTTGTGACTATCAGCTCGTGGGGAAAGCAGACACAGCCGATTCGCTAATACACTTCTTCCGATGTTTACCATGAGCCGTTCTGACGGAATCTGCCAACCAAATGCGGCATCCAATGTACATACTTGACTCGTATGAGCTTCTTGAGGTTTACCAGATTCAAGCTCAGGATATCTGATATAATCTAACGTCATTGCAACGTTCTTTGAGCATTGTCCTTGCTCTTCAATAACAGTCTTGACTATATATGTACTCGTAGAAGTCCTCATTGTCCAGCCGCTTATTTGGAAGAATCGGTTAAAACTTCAATGGCGACACTGCTATACAACTTTGTCAGCAAAATCTCCGATCGGTTCCTGAAGGCCGACTGACGTATGGGAACAGGTTACCTCTCAAAATGCTGAACACTACAATTGACTCTGTGAATACGGTACGGACCAGGCTCAAGACAAAGCCTACAATGAAGTCTGTTCGCTTCCACGGACCTGGCGATATCCGAGTCGAGGAAATTGACGAGCCAACCTGTGGCAAGGGCCAGGTCAAGGTAGGCCGGATTCTAACTCAGCAAACGGATTTCACTGAAATTATTGGAACATATAGTTGCGGCCAGCATTCGTGGGGATATGTGGCAGTGGTAAGTCTGGCCCGCACTGATCAAGCTTCGCAGATGTTAACCCGCATAGATCTTCATGAGTATAGTGCCGGCCCCGTTCTCATCCCAAGGGAGCCGCACAGGATTACGGGGACTTCTTATCCTGTGACATTGGGTCATGAGTTTGCCGGCATCATTGAAGAAGTCGGCGAAGGAGTAACGCATCTATCACCTGGACAGCGAGCAGTGGTTCGTCCAACGATATTCGACCGACAATGCTGCTCCTGTAAACTCGGGTATGAGTACTGCTGTGAGAATATTGGGTTTATCGGATTATCTGGTAAGACGCGCGCCCAATCCGGGTACATCGGGCCCCTGGAACTGAACACATGTAGGATATGGCGGTGGAATGGCGAAGCACACCGTGGCGCCCGCTGAGCACTTCTATCCGCTTCCTGATAATGTGTCTCTCGAGGCGGCAGCACTGATCGAGCCACTGGCCGTGGCATGGCATGCCGTCAACCTATCCCCGTTCAAGGGAGGGGATAACGTCATGGTTGTCGGAGGTGGTCCGATTGGGATTGGCATTGTCCAAATCCTGAAGCTTCAGGGAGCCAAGAAGATCATGGTAGCCGAACTACTCGAGAACCGCAAGAAGTTCGCCCTCGAGTACGGAGCCACAGACATTATCGACCCTCGCACATGCGATGTACCGGAGAAAGTGCGGGAACTGACGAATGGCGTGGGTGCGGATGTCATCTTCGACACTGCGGGAGTGGAAGTTGCCTTGAACGGAGCTATTTCCGCATGCCGTGTCCATGGCACTATCGTGAACATCGCCGTCTGGGAGAAGCGGCCTTCTATACGTGTGAACCAGTTGATGTACCATGAAGTTAACTACACCGGCGCAGCGCTGTACGATGAGAGCGCTTTTCGAAATGTGATCCAAGCACTGAACTACGGTAAGTTCACAACCACCTGAGGTCGAGTCATTCTTGGCTGATACTGAAGTTTCAGGTCAATTGAAACCTGAGGGGATGATCACAGCAAAGGTAACAATGGACGAGGTTGTCGAAAGGGGCTTCAAGACGCTGCTCGAAGATCGTGGTGAGCATTGCAAGATCCTGGTCGATGTACAGGCATCATAACAGATCCCTCTCCTTGGCACTCACAATTACCGATATCTTTCCCACAATTTCCCCCCTTCATTCTCTGTACATAATTGAATCATGACGATGTGATGATGTTTGACAGTTGATTTTGGTGGGAGCCTGACGATGGCTGTGCACTGTGGCTGAGACCTTTGCGATGTGGCTCAACCTCATTACCTAATCCAATGCATCGCGTTTTTTGCTGAGCGATTTCCTCTTCCGGATGCACTAAAAATATTCGGTAGCTTTCTTTCACATGTATTCAGGTCAGAGCAGGACAAAAGTTTGGGTGAGCCTGGGATGATGAAATGGTGTCATGGAACGTTGGAGGGCACAGTATTCGGAAACGAACATGAGACCAGGGCACCTTGACTGTTGTGGGCCATGGAAGGCTTAGTCCTCCACAGCAAAGACCAATGACGGAAACAGGGTCCAAGTAGTGACATCAGCCGACGGCCCTACTAATAAGGTCGTGATGGAGAGCTTTTTCCTTTGCCGCTCCATCTTCCAATCACTATCAAGCGTTCGTCGTCATCTGTGGATCAGCATCATGATCTTCTGGATACTCAACGGATGGCCGCCTGTGAGAAGCTCTCATCGCTGGATCTGGAGTCCATCGTCCCCTTGGCACCCAACAAATGCCTCCACCGATCTTCATGCTGCGACACCTTGTCCCAGGGACTTATTACAAGTGCAATCTTGCTGCCTCCGAGGGCTGCATCTTTTCAATCTCTGCGCTCTTTTATTCTCCCTGAAGGATCCCATTGCCTGCGGCGCATTTCTGTGAGTTTCGCAGTTACACGAATCGCCTTTACTGGCTGTCTTCTTCAAAATATACCTCTACCTCAATCGAATTTCATACTCACCATCGACTGTTTATTTACGATCTCTCGCCTAGTCGCGAGTGAGAAATCGTCAATATGGGAGCCGGCGGCGTCGTTATCCGCTTTTTCAATTTAGCAATCCGAGTGCTCCAATTCCTCGATGCCGCAGTCATCCTGGGGATCTTCTCATACTTCCTGGCTGTCCAGAGCCAACATAACCAGCCCATTCCAACATGGATGAAGGCCGTTGAGGGACTTTCCGGCGCAGCAACTTTGTACGGACTATTCGGATTACTCTTCACCTGCTGCTTGGGAGGGCTTGCCTTCTTCACCTTCCTGGCTATCGTGCTTGATGTGTGCTTCATCGGAGCAATGATCGCCATCGCCGTGATGACCCGTGACGGAACCCAGTCCTGCTCCGGGAACGTCAGTACTCCTGTGGGCTCCGGCGCTGATAATGTCGACAGCGCATCTGGCGTCCGGCTGGGGTACGCCTGCATGCTCGAAAAGGCCACTTTTGCGGTCTCAATTATCGGAATGTAAGTCAAAATAAATCCTTCTCTAGCCTATTCGTCAAGGCTCTTTACTAATATGTGAACCACCAGTTTCCTCTTCTTGATCTCGATTCTCTTCCAATTCCTCTACGCCCGCCACCACAAGCGCGAAAAGCGTTTCGGCCCTTCCCCGGCCAACGGGTACACCTACGGCACCGGCACCCAACGCCGTGGCTTCTGGCGCCGCAACAAGCGTACCCCGGAAACCGCCAGTGCGGACGACATGCTTCCTGGGCACCCTACCCCTGCCGACGTCGAAATGGGCGGTAACACCGAGAAGCCCGGCGTCTTCGGTGGTCGCTTCTTCTCGCGCAACAACAATGCTGCAGCTAATGGCTATGGTGGCTCGGCCTATACCGGCAACTATTGATCATGGTCGTTTTTCCCGGGCAATCGGTTTTCCATTGCGTTGGAATGCGCGAAAACACGCTTATATGTCGTGGATAATGTATTTGACCGAGCCTCGTTTGCTGAGTGGAGTTGGGATTCAATTCTGCCGGAGGAAAAGCAGGTCTATGTCTATGATTGAATGAGCTAGTTGATGATACCATTTCTAATTCATGTACACTTTGCTGTACTGTAATTGGTCCGTGGAAGTGGTACGATTGAGAAAATAATTTGACATTTTTAGGATCATATTACATCCATCTACCTAGAGCAGAGAACGCAGGGCAGATTAATAATTAATCAATTAAAGGCCCTTGACAGAAAGTACACAAGGAATAACAAGACCGACACTCAAAAACCGAAACAACCTCACGTATAGCAACCACGAGAACACAAACTTGAATTAAGGATGGTATGTGCATACACCAAAAAATCGAAGAATGGGGAAGACTGACGACAACCCTACGTACGCTCGATAACACCGTGGCTGCAGCGCGTACCGGCGGCAACAGGTCCCATCTGAACAGGTTTGCCCCAGTCGCACTTCGCCCATGTCTGACCATTGGTCCCGCACAGGATCTCGCCGTGTTCGCAAGTCTCCGGGAATTCTTGCGCGGGCGCAGCCTCGGAGGAAGGCTTGGGCTGAGGGGCGTGTTCTGCTTCGGGGTTGTCCTTGGGCTTAGGTTTGGATGCAGACTCTGTCTCAGGCTTATACCCAAACTGGGGCTTGGGCTGAGACTCAGTCTGAGGCTTGTACCCAGACTCAGCAGCGGACTGAGCAGACTCAGGCTTGTACCCAGAGTCTGGGGCAGACTGACCAGACTGGGAGGACTGAGGCTTGTATCCAGGCTCAGCAGCCACTTGAGAAGACTGGGGCTTGTACCCAGAGTCTGGGGCAGATTGACCAGACTGGGAGGACTGAGGCTTGTATCCAGACTGAGCAGACTCAGGCTTGTACCCAGAGTCTGGGGCAGATTGACCAGACTGGGAGGACTGAGGCTTGTATCCAGGCTCAGCAGCCACTTGAGAAGACTGGGGCTTGTACCCAGACTGAGCAGACTCGGGCTTGTACCCAGAGTCTGGGGCAGATTGACTAGATTGGGATGACTGAGGCTTATATCCAGACTCAGCGGCCGCTTGAGATGCGGACTGAGGGTTGTACTTAGAGTCTGTGGTGGCTTGAGACGCCAACTGAGATGACTGAGGCTTGTACCCAGCTTCCGGAGCGGATTGACCAGACTGAGGCTTATATCCAGAGTTTGTGGCGGCTTGAGACACCGGCTGAGGCTTGTATCCAGATTGCGGAGTGGACTGAGAAGACTGAGGCTTGTACGCAGACTCTGGGGCGCTTGAGATGCGGACTGAGGGCTGTACCCAGAGTCTTGGTTGAACTGACTCTCAGGCTGATACCCAGTCTGCGGGCTGGCTTGGGATGAGGATGATTGAGGGCTGTACCCAAACTCTGGGGTTGATTGGGAGGCAGCAGACTGAGGCATATATCCAGACTGTGGGATAGATTGGGATGCAGACTGCGGGTTGTAACCAGACTCAGGGTTAGATTGACTCTCAGGCTGATACCCAGTCTGCGGGGTGGCATGAGACGAGGACTGAGGCTTATAACCTGACTGCGGGCTGGCTTGAGATGACGACTGAGAGCTGTAGCCAGACTGTGGGGCAGCCTGGGATGCAGACTGCGGGTTGTAACCAGACTCAGGGTTAGATTGACTCTCAGGCTGATACCCAGTCTGCGGAGTGGCATGAGACGAGGACTGAGGCTTAAACCCTGACTGTGGAGTGGCCTGAGACGAGGACTGAGGGCTGTAGCCAGACTCTGGGTTTGACTGAATCTCGGGCTGATACCCTGACTGTGGGATGCTTTGCGAAGTGGACTGAGGGTTATATCCAAACTCCGGAGAAGATTGAGTCTCAGGCTTATACCCAGACTCTGGGAGGGATTGAGACGAGGGCTGAGGCTTATACCCTGACTGTGGAGTGGCCTGGGATGCAGACTGAGGGTTGTACTCGAACTCTGGGGAGGATTGACTCTCAGGCTTATACCCAGACTCTGGGATGTATTGAGATGAGGGCTGAGGCTTATACCCTGACTGCGGAGAGGCCTGAGACGAGGACTGAGGGCTGTAGCCAGACTGTGGGGCAGCCTGGGATGCAGACTGAGGGTTGTACTCAAACTCCGGGTTTGACTGAATCTCGGGCTGATATCCTGACTGTGGGATGCTTTGCGAAGCGGACTGAGCGTTGTATCCAAACTCCGGAGAAGATTGAGTCTCAGGCTTATACCCGGAATTCCCGGTGGACTGGGACGCAGACGGAGGCGTATACCCAGACTGTGGGATAGATTGGGATGCAGACTGCGGGTTGTACGCGAACTCAGGGCTAGTTTGACTCTCAGGCATGTACCCTGACTCGGGGGAGGATGGAGACTGAGGCATGTAACCAGACTCTGCGGTGGATTGAGACTTGGGCTGAGCGTTGTACATGAAGTCAGGACTGGAGGACTGTGAAGGCTTGGGCCTTTCACGAAGGGGTGCGTGGAGTCGAGCGGGTCTCGCCGAGGGCGTAGCCACGGAGTGGGAGCCTGAAGGTGTCGCGGGAGACTGCGAACTTGACGGTTTCACCACAGGATGCGAACTTGACGGTTTGACCACAGGATGGGAACTCGAACGTGTGGCCGGAGATTGGGAACTTGAAGATGTAGCCTTAGATTGAGATGTGGCTGGAGATTGGGCAGTTGAAGATGCGGCCGGGGATTGGGCACTTGAAGATGTAGCAGTGGAGGCAACAGCTTGATCGGACGAAGAGGCCTTGGGACTGTTGCTGCTCGAGTCACTGCCCAGGAAAGGCGCATCGCTCTCGCACTGGTATCCCTTGCCACTCAAGGAGCCCTCGACGGAAGGTCCGGGGAGAGGAAAGTTAACTTCCTGGCCTTCCACTGTCTTACACTTGCCGGGTCCGTTGATGTTGGCCTCGAACAAGGGTGGAAGGCTGTCAAAGCCGCCAGCCCGGCGGGAGAAGGCAGGAGAGAGGTCGCGAGCGTGCTGACGGGCCTGAGAACCACCCTTGATGGTGACCATAGCACAGTTCATGTACATCTCGCGGTTTCCGATCTTGTTGAACCATGACCAGGCCAGGAGGGCCTCGCCAGACGGGGCGTCCGAGGGAATTTGAAAGTTATACTTGGAGGTGAGAGGGCACCCTCCGAGCATTGAATGGATGACTTTGAAGGTCTTGCCCTCGTCATAAGAGAGAGCAATCTGGCAGGAACCTCCGCCGTGGGTCGCGCTGCCCTGTAGTTCAAGTTCGTATGTTTGGCCGGCCGTATAGTCAGCAACAGACTTAAAGGGATCATTGGCATATCCCTTGCACGGGTAATCAGATCCATCTGTTGACAGGGGGTTCGTGTAGGAGTAATCCTTTTGGTCATCCGCGTCCGGGTTCAGCGGGCTCCGAATGGGATACGGCTTCGACATCTGCATATGTCCGGAGACACATGATGCCAAAAGGGCCGAAGCCACTAACAGGCCCTTCATTGCGAGAGCAACCCTACGATTATTTGTGTTTGAAATGGAAGATAATTCAAGGCGACTCTGTATTTGTAGAGTTAGTAATGTCGAGTCAACAATAACAGTAGTGTCCCTGAGGTTTGCACGAGAGACACAAGAACAAGTAAAGGGCTTCTCTCAGTGCCATCGGCTCATACTAGCTAGACATAGGAACAAGGAGACTCACCCAATAATCTTCAGACAACCACGATTGCCAGACACGGAGCTGTAAGGAACAAAGCTCGCAACGAGGTGAAGAAACAGGGGGCAAAAGCCAGCTCCTTATGATCGAACAGGGACTTCCAGTAGATCAGAAGGAGGACGTTGACTGAAGAAGTCCACGAACTAGACTCTCCTGCTCAGCAACCGGAAAGACAGCATCACATTTTGTTTTGCTGGTTGCTGAGCAGCCTTTTAAGTCAGTCGAGACATGAGCTGGTATGTAACTCTGTACGACTCCATGGTGCCTGGTTTCGGACTATAATCACCAAGAATGAACGCTGGATGCCATTGTCGGATCCACTATGGCGTCCACGAGTGACAGCTCATCACTCTGTTTTGAGGAATGAAGGAATGCTGGAGGTTCAATGGGCTGTTCACCAGTAAGCATCGTGGTAGCTATGGCCTTGGATACTTAGCACGGACCTTGTCAAATCCAAACGAGGCAGTATCCAAGTCAGACCCCAAAATCGGCGTGCGATATTTTGCCGGCAGAGATGATCGCCTGGTGGTTGTATATGGAGAGAGTGAGGACCTCCCATGATGTCACATTGTCGTTGACGACCACCTTGTTTTTCGGGACAGAACTTGAAGATTCTGGATGAATGGAGCTTAGATGATATGATATGAACTGGTTTCCATGAGATAAAGGAAGAGTTGCGACGGAAAGCAGAAAGTCACGGTTGATGGCTGCGGGATGTTGTAGATACTACCTACTCCGTACTCTAACAGAGCTTGGCAGTGACTAGTCTCCTATTCTTAAGAGCCCCGGAAGCAAACATGCGCCCCTGAAAGGCTTAAATTGACCATCAGCTCCAGCCTCCTAACGAAGTACAGTATCAAGCAGACGCGTCCTCTGGATAGATAATCCTGACCACTCATTTGCTGCTGCTGCTGCTGTTTGCATTTACACCCATCGTTTTGTTTTCCTCGGTTCCTTGGCTTCTTCCCTCATTTCCGCCGCCAGACCCCGATCGATCAACGATCAACGATTAAAACATCATCGATCATCGATCGCAGAGAGAAAATGATCCGTCATCACAGCTAGAACTCAACTCATCGGCAACTCCACCTGTTCAACAGCAGGTTTTGCTGGATGTTGCTGCGGCCTACTGTTTCGCAGCAGCAGAGAATATTAGCTCATGCTCTTCTCTTCCAACATGCCGCAGGTTCCCATGGTGGCCTGGAATTTGGCCCGCCGCAAGCTTCGATTCGCCACGTCTCGTCGTCACGGTGGATAACTCAATCAGCTTCCGTGGCGAGCCAAAGCTTTTCTTATTCTCTAGCTCAGAGCCGTGGACGTTCCTTAGTTTCTGTTCGCTCTTATGGACGCGTGTTCGGCGTGATTGCGACACATTCCTCGGCTGGTCGATCGTTTAAACTGGTGACCACGCCAACTTTTCCTCCATACCTGCCTTCGAGAGGATCGTCGCGGTCTCCGGAATCTATTAGCATGCCAGCCAGTGCTGTTGCGCCGGACGACACCCTTCTGATCGGGATTGTCCCACAAGCAATCAAGTCAAACGACGAGCCATCTCAGGATGTTCCTTCAGACCCTGAATCAGATGACGATGTTCCTCTTGAAGCCGAGGAGCTTCAGGATGCTCTCTCGCGTCCCCCACCTGTGAATAGTAGCTACCTTCCGCTCCCCTGGAGAGGCCGATTAGGCTATGTAAGTCAGGTTGTTTAGCGCATTCTTTCGGATGCTGGCCCCCTGTAGTTGTGTTACTTATGGTGTGTAGGCTTGTTTGAATACATATCTACGGAACGCGAACCCGCCAGTGTTCTGCTCTCGGACCTGTCGCATTGCGTCCATTCTTGAAAACCGACACCCACTTGCGGATCCCTCGCAGCCGCCTCATCCGACCAAGAACCGCCCTGATCGGGATCGGACGCCTGATGTTGCCCGCGGACAGGCGTACGTTGAGTCTCTGGGACTGGCCAATGCGCGAGATCTGATTAAGCTCCTGCGCTGGAATGACAAATATGGCATCAAATTCATGCGACTGAGCAGTGAGATGTTCCCTTTCGCCAGCCATAAAGAGTATGGCTATAAACTTGCCTCGTTTGCATCAGAGGTCCTCGCTGAGGTTGGCCGTGTGGTTGCCGAACTCGGTCATCGAGTGTCCGTACATCCTGGCCAGTTTACTCAGCTTGGCTCGCCCAGGCTGGAAGTCATTGAAAGCTCGATCCGCGATCTGGAATATCACTCGGAGATGTTGCAACTCCTCAAGTTGCCTCCGCAGCAAGATCGCGACGCTGTCATGATTCTCCACATGGGGGGTGTATTCGGCGATAAAGAGGCCACACTGGATCGGTTCCGGGAGAATTACAAAGGTCTTTCCCAGGATATCAAGAATCGGCTCGTTCTGGAGAATGACGATGTAAGCTGGTCAGTGCACGATTTACTGCCCATTTGTGAGGAGCTGAATATACCGCTTGTCCTCGACTTCCATCACCACAACATCGTCTTCGATTCAAGCCAAGTGCGCGAGGGTACCTTGGATATCATGGATCTTTTTGACCGGATCAAGGCAACTTGGACACGTAAGAACATCACGCAGAAAATGCACTATTCGGAACCTGTTCCCTCCGCCATCACGAATCGACAGCGGCGAAAGCACAGCGATCGAGTGTCCACGCTTCCACCTTGCGACCCGACCATGGATTTAATGATCGAGGCCAAGCACAAGGAGCAAGCCGTTTTTGAATTGATGAGGCGGTTTAAGCTGCCTGGCCACGACCTGTTTAATGATGTATTGCCTTACACGCGAACCGATGAGAACAGACCTTTCAAGCCTCCTCGCAAAACCAAGAAGAACGGAGGGTTCGTTGACCTCGAAGCTCAGGTCCCTCCTACTTCTACTGTTCCCGAGGAAGAAGTAGGCATGGGAGGTCCGGAAAGAAGAGTCTATTGGCCACCAGGTATGGAAGAGTGGCTTCGGCCGAAGAAGATCATTCGTGTCAAAGCACGACAGAGTCCGGCAAAATCGAATGCGTCGAAGAAGAAGGCAAAGGCAAATGAAGACTCGTCACAAATAAAGAACGAGGATGCTGATGAGGAAGATGAGGGGCCAGCGACTCCCAAGCCTAAGACTTCTCGCCCACCCAAACGCACTGCAAGTGTGAAAAAACAGACAAGCAGGAAAAGGAAAGCTTCACCGACTCCGCCCTCTACTCCGTCGGTCTCTGATATCGAGGGTTTAGCTCTGGCGGAACCGCCCATTCTTTCTGGTACTGAGACTGCCAATACTCGTCGTAGCCGACGCGCAACGACCGCGAAGAAGGTCAGTTACGCCGAGGAGAGCGACTCTGTATGAAAAGATTTGCTTTATATTCCTGAAGGAACATTGTCCTCAATGGCTGCTGGGCCAGTCTTCTGTATAATTGTCACATTCAGTCTCTTATGTATTATTATTGCATGTGTGAAAGTCACTCTCCAAGGGAAATGATAAGAATATTTTGACAAGGATCTATTAATAGTAGTATTTTTCAGGGGCTTCATTTGATTCCATTTTCCGTGTCTCTTGTAGATACGTAGTAGTAGTGCATCTGCGTCTCGGACGATGATGAAATGATGCTGCCCGGGTCCTGTTCCGCTTCTCCACAGGTCGAACTCACAAGAGGCTTGACAGCTTCTAGACTATCTTTCTAGTCTCATTTTCTGCATCCCCGTTGATTCTGTCGCAGTTCTTGCCACCATTAGATCAGCATCTTTTCACCATGTTCACTTGATCCTTGATCACGTTTATTCGGGGGATCACAGCCCACAGAATCTCTGATCCGGCGACACCCTAAGCACAGAACTCGGACAACCTTGCCGCCTACGAAGCTCATCAATCGGGATCACCTGGTTTTTCTACGATCTTGACGTTGATAGTATCAAGCTCTGCTTGTTTCTCCCGAATTCAACTGGAACTAGATTCCTTCCATATCGATCCTGGCTCCCAAAATCTATCCTCGCAGTCGTTGGCTAGCGCCCCCGCCGACTTCCCAGTTCAGGCGCCAACCCCTCTTTCGGTTTCTCCCCTCGCTCCTTCGTCCCTCGATTCGAGACCGACAGACCAGGCCAGGACGGCTTCTTCGTTTCTTTCGTCTCCTCATCGGCCCTCACGCCACCCGCCGCGCTCAGCTGCGCCTTTGGGGTCTCCGGCACGAAACGATCCCCGCTTTCCGCCACCGAGCACAAGCAAGGGTCTATCGCGCCATCGTTCAGCAGCAGGCAAGACGGGCACGTAGACGGATCTCGGGCAAGAAGGGTATACTTGAGCTTCTGCTTCTTGGGCGGAGGGGATCAGCCAGGCGACTGGGTGCTGGCTCTGCTGGAGGGTCACAGCTTGTCCCGCGCCTGAAAGGTCTGCGAGCAGCAGGACAAGCCCCGGATGCAGCTGCGAGATCCTCGATGTCCCAGTACGAGTCATCCGCGTCTACATCGTGGGGCGCCGGGGGTGGCGGGCGACGCAAGAAGGTCTACGAATATCTGAAGGCGGCTAATGAGCTACGGCAGACGTATACGGCGCAATGGGCGGCGCAGAGGAATAACCCGCGTGATTACCATGAGGATTACTACAATACCCCGGGTGCGTTTTCCGATGTGGAAATCACGCGGTCTGGAAATGAGGAGATGGTTCTGTTCCCAAGCTATGCGAGGAGACTTGTGAAGGGAAAACAGCCGGAGGTTCAGGCCCGCCAGCGGCGCGATTCGACTTCGACGATTGATGAGTACCGCGGTGTGTCGGACGATCCAGAGCCCGCGTCCGAGTGGACACAATACGAGGACGAGCATGCAGTTGTGGCTGTCGATGTGCGAGGCTGGGTCTACGCACCTCACCGCGGGCCGATGACCCGGAAACATCGCTTGCTGATTGCGCTGGCCAGGAAGCTGAGCGGCATACCTGCTCCTAACACTACATCGGCTGATGATGGCAACGCGACTGCAGCTGTTGGCACTCCTACGAAAACGAACGGGGCTAGCGAGGAGGAAATGGTGGATCAAGAGATGCAGTCTATTATCAGTAACGCGGAGAAGAGCGCAGATCCTGTGTGGAAGGGCAGTGCTTCCGATGATCGCAGTTCAAGTGCTTCTCCTGAGAAGACCACGCAACCCTCGCAGTTGAGCAAAGATGAGCTGACAGTTGCGAATGCGCATCTCATGGAGAGACTGCGCCCCTTTCTTACAAATCCCAGGGCGGCAATGCCTGTGACTGTCTTCTTCTACAACGACGAGCAAAGCCAATCGAGAAACGTCATGACAGACGAATCGGGCCACTTCAACCTCCGTGCAACGCTGCCGTTTGTACCAACTCACATCCGCGTGTTGGCCTCAGAGGAACTGTCCGCTACAAAAGCGATTCAAATCATCGAGCCAACAGGTGTCAGCTTGATTAGTGACATTGACGACACTGTGAAGCATTCTGCCATCACAAATGGCGCGAAGGAGATATTTCGGAACACGTTTGTCCGCGAACTGGCCGACCTCACTGTCGATGGTGTCACTGATTGGTACAACGAGTTAGCCAAGATGGGTGTAGAGATTCACTACGTCTCTAACGCACCATGGCAACTCTACCCGTTGTTGGAACGTTATTTCAAACTGGTTGGACTTCCTCCCGGGTCCTTCCACCTGAAGCAGTACAGCGGCATGCTGCAGGGAATTTTTGAGCCTACCGCAGAAAGAAAGAGAGGCTCTCTGGAACAAATCCTGCGGGACTTTCCTGAACGCAAGTTCATCCTGGTCGGCGATAGTGGTGAGGCAGATCTTGAGGTCTATACTGATATTGTCCTGGCGAATCCTGGCAGAATCCTGGGCATCTTCATTCGTGATGTCACCACGTCAGACCGTAAGGACTTCTTTGATAAGTCTGTCGATCATCTAGAAGGCGTCCCTGCTCGTAGTCACAGTACCCCTCAACTTGTCGATGATTCGGATGCGATAGCAAAGCGGCCCGCGTTGCCGCCTCGTCGGCCGCGTGAATCCCCAACGCCATCTACAGGTGCCGTTAGTATTGATAACGGCGACCTGATCGATCTACGGGGCGAACAGGAAGAGAAAAACGTATCGGCAGATGCGCCCAAGCCCGCAAGCTTCCGTACGCCGCCCATGAAACCGAGCAAACCCTCCTCTCTTCGAGCTGTGACAAAGAATTCGGAGTCGACAGAAAATCCGGGTTCTTCTCAAATTCAGGATCTCATCCGGCGCAAGCCTGTTCCTCCAGTACCCCTCGCCGTCAAATCGCAACAGATCAAGAGGAATCTTCGAGCTCCCCTAAAGCATCGGCACAGAGTACAAGTTACGCTGGCGGCGTCCTGAATGCAGTCCAGTCGGTCACTAACTCCCTCCCAGCGGCGACAAAGCAGTTACCGTTCCGTCCCAAGACTTCTGATGGCATTGGCGCGGTTGATCAACCATCTGACGCGACAAAGTCGGCGCGTCCCAAGCAAGCCCCTCCGCCTCCACCACCGCGGCGTACAAATACAGGGGCTTCGACTGCTACTTCGGATAGCCCCGGTAACCGGCCAGCATCGCAAAAAATACAGTCATACCCAGCTTCGGCCGCTGCTGCCGCGTATCAATTCGCGTCTGAACGTCTGAATTGGTCTGCGTCGCCAGCTGCTTCTCTGCGGTCGAGAGCTTCGATCCCATCGCTGAGTCGCTCCAGCACCAATCCTGTGAACAATCAATCAGACTCGTCATCTGTTCCACCTCCTCCACTACCTAATAAGAGAGAGGAGCTGTGGCGACGGCGTTGGGAACGGGCTAATGAGCTCCTAGCGGAGCAGGGGGTTGTGTTGGGCAGTTGGCGTGTGGGAAAAGATATGAAGGATGTCAGTGTGTGGCTGGTACAACAGGCCACGAAAGACATGCAGAATGATTCCAAAACGCATTCTGACCCGAAGACATGAAGTTTCTTTGCATTCTTGGACCACAATGTACAATTTTCTCGATGTATATAGCATACGTCATGTATACCCAGCATATGATAGATCATGGCATGAACAGCGTTCTGACAGTGTACTTTAACCTGAGCGTGATAGAATAATCATCAACTAGTTAGAAAGGACCAATCTTTGTTAACGGACCATTTGATCACTGATCTCCGCGCTTCATGTCTGCCAATATGCCAAGAAGCTGGACTCGTGTCCCGGACTTCCCAAAATGGTAACATCCTCGGCTCACGGCTATCACAGGAAAATAACTAATCGTCCCCGCATGATTGGCAGTCTCCCCAATCCCCCAGTGTCTATCTATATTTTTTCTGGCGAATCAATCTAAAATCAGATTCTAGACCAGTATTGACGTGATATTCTCTGATTGATCCTTACTTCTACACCTCGCTCCGAACACCTTCCATATCCATAGACCTCCTCCCTCACCATGTCCAAGACCTTCACCCGCGCCGAGGTCGCAAAGCACAACACCGAGGACTCCCTCTGGTGCATCATCGACCACCGCGTCTATGACCTGACGGACTTCCTAGACGCCCACCCAGGCGGCAGCGTCGTCCTCGCGCAGGTCGCTGGCCAAGACGCGACAACAGACTTCTACAATCTGCACCGACAAGAGGTCATCGACAAATACCGCGACCAGCTCTGCATCGGCATCATCGAGGGCGAGACTCCCGAGGTCATCTCGCCTCAGCCGGGCAGTCTGAGCACCGTTCCCTATGCGGAGCCGCTCTGGCTGCGGCCGGAGTTCAAGAGCCCCTACTACAAAGAGAGTCATAGGCGGTTGCAGCGGGCGATGCGGGAGTTTACGGATCGGTATGTGACGCCTGAGGCGCAGGAGAAGGAGCGGGATGGGACGTATATTAGCCAGGAGTTGATTGACAAGATGGCCGAGGCGAATGTGTTGGCTATGCGGTTGGGGCCTGGGAAGCATTTGCATGGACGGAAGTTGTTGGGCGGTGTGGTCGATGGGAAGGAGTTTGATTACCTGCATGATATGATTGTTGCGCAGGAGATGGTTCGGAGTAACGCGAGAGGTGGGTAATTCTCTAAGGGTGCATGGTGACGGGCTGACGTTTTGCAGGCTTCCAGGATGGAAACATGGCCGGGATGGTCATTTCGTTAACGGCTGTCCAGCAGTGGCTGCGCAATGCTCCTCTGCGCGAGAAGATCACCGAGGAAGTTCTGTCCGGTCGCAAGAAGATGTGCTTGGCTATCACCGAGGCATTTGCTGGCAGTGATGTGGCGGGTCTGAAGACGACGGCAAAGAAGACACCTGATGGAAAGCACTACATTGTCAATGGCACCAAGTAGGATTGTCCGCCGCGTAAGACGCCACTTTCAATGCTAACCAAACGACATTTAGGAAATGGATCACCAACGGCATGTTTGCCGACTACTTTGTCACCGGCTGTCGGACCGAAAAAGGCTTCTCTGTGCTTCTGATTCCTCGCGGTGAAGGCGTCGAGACAAAACAAATCAAGACCTCTTACTCCACCGCAGCCGCCACGGCATTCGTTCAATTCGAGAACGTCAAGGTCCCCGTCGAGAACCTGCTGGGCGAAGAACACAAGGGTTTTATCGTGATCATGAGCAACTTCAACCACGAGCGCTTCACCATGGTCTGCGCCGTCATTCGCATGTGCATGACCGTCACCGAAGAGTGCATGAAGTGGTGCAACCAGCGCATCGTCTTCGGAAAGAAGCTCATCGAGCAGCCTGTCATGCGGCAAAAGTACGTGCTCTTTTTTTCCTCTGGCCTGCTTCCAAAAATGATACGTTGCTAACCTTTGATGCTAGACTCGCCCGAATGATCTCTCTCTGCGAATCCAACCAGGCCTGGTTGGAATCCATCGCTTACCAGATGTGCAACATGACCTATGCTCAGCAAGCCGCACACCTCGGCGGTCCTATCGGCCTCCTCAAGTCTCACTCTACCCGCTGCGCGCAGGAGATCGCGGACCACGCCACGAATATCTTTGGCGGCCGTGGAATAACCCAGAGCGGGATGGGCAAGGTTATCGAGATGTTCCACCGGACATACAAGTTCGATGCCATCCTCGGTGGCACGGAAGAGATCCTGGCTGATCTCGGCGTGAGACAGGCCATGAAGAAATTCCCCAAGGCGGTGCTGTAGATGTGCCCTGCACCGTCTGGTCTTCTATCGTTCATTCTATTTGTAATTATACATCTTGTTCTTGTTCTCGGATAGCGTTGCCTCTTTCTAGATATGGAGCTCCTATACAAGTCAAACTAGACATGCAATCCACCCCTATACTGCAGCGCTTCTTCTCTTTCTTTCCTTCTGCTCATTGGCCTGATACCCAGGACCCATACTCGTCTTAATCAAGACGACGATAAATCCAGAAATAGATCCGCCATTATTTTGAACAAGTTATGTTAATGGTGCGCGAACCAATAGCCTTCAACATAGTCAACGCGTGGCTCATTTCGTATCGGAAAATTCATGAGGGCCGGACGATCTAAAAGTAGATTCTACCGAGGGACGCCTGCTGCTCGGAGCGACCGAGAAATACATGAGTCATATCACAATGACTCCTTTGTCGGACGTGAGGCGTCCGTTTTGTATATACTGATTGGTAAGGGAGAGTTGAGGATACTGCCTAATCAGGAAGGTCAGTCAATTCCGGGGTGGGCCTGAGGCTTCGATCCCGAGATCTCCACAGGATGGGGTGGAGCACTGGAGCAGAACGCTGCCACTCGGCGAGTAATTTCCGTCAGCGTGAGTAAAGAGCTTATGCTTAGCCGCAGAAGACTCTAATCCGTAACTTACCTATTGATGCCGTTGGCGTGTCTTGGCGACAGGCGAGGGTATGCCTTGGGATTGAAAGAATGAGGTGTATTGCTTTTCGACTGTCCATGTGACATACTGACGTACCACCGGAGCGTCAAGCTTCGAGGTCCCCTGCGGATGCAACTCTGGCGGGGTTGGGAATGGAATGTGATTCTTAAGCACCAGGGAATCACCCTTCATCTGTATGAGATATGCGCATTTCAATTATATATTCTGCTTCCTACTGTGGACAAAATGGAACTGCTGCAAGTCTCTGGTGCAGTATACTACGATTCCTTGCTCGGTCGTCGACCGCAAGACCCGCCCCGGGATTTCACTCGCGTTCTTTATATCCCTCGTCACAATTCAGCAACAGTGCACCTCCCGCTGTACGATGTCGCGACGCAGTATCGCAATGCTGTCAAGGGATGCGTCCTCAACAGCAGCCAGTACGCTGTTCAACTGAGTATGATGGAGAAGCCGCGAGATGACGGGATGAACTGCGAAGTGGCCTATCATGTCAACCTGGACAGAAGCGCGACAGAAGATGCGCCTGTCCGATTGCAAGTGCAGCGAAGATCGTTGTTCGAGGATGGCGAGGCAATAGCGCATGCGTATGTATTCATCTAGGCTGTTTGCAATGACTCCACCGTTCGCTTGGAATGTTGACGTGCTGAAATGAAAAAGCCTGACCCGTCTGCCGCCTCATGACGGTTGTCTAATCGCTATCGGCAACAGTCAGAAACGAACTGACACGTGTTGCACGCTCATGGAAGCCTGCTTCCCGATACAACCGAGCATTCGAGGCAAATATAGCATCCCCCATCCTTATTTTACGTTCCTGCTGCCAGGGAAGAACAACAAGCAGCGGATAGTCCAATGGCAGGTCCGCCCCAAGGAAGATAGCCTGCGTCGATACACATTAGTTGAAATCGGTGCGGCGTCAGAGAAGCCTGACGGCGCGCTGTCAGAAGACAATGTGCGAGAGCCGAGAATTTTAGCAATCTACCATCATATCGGGATCAACATGTGGTTGCCAAAAGATTTCAGCGAAGGTGTGCTTCTTCTTCCGGATCAAGCAGGGCTGGAAGATAACGAGCTTGAGCTGTTGATAGTTGCAAGTCTATTGGCTTTGCTTTGGCAACTGCGGGAGCAAGCGCAAATGAAGCCACAAAAATTGAAGGGTGGCCACTCTCGAAATTCCCAAAACATGTTCCAGAAGGCAGTTTCTGTCCTTCATAGACACTAGCCATCAAAAGAGCATCCATTCATTCTTGGACGGTTGAGTGAATCATACCATCCCCGTCATATAATCAGATAATCATGCTGCTGTGTCAATTCGGGTGAATGAGTCTGTAATCAGTCAGTGGCCGGCGGAATGGTAGCGAACTAAAAAGTCAGTAGGTCGCTTACGAAGGTGGTCCAGGAGATGTTTTGATCATCGCCAGGGGCTTGCGCAGCCCTCGCAGCCCAGACCTTCTCCAACAATTCTCGAGGTACCGGATTGCGGAACTCAGACCTTCGCTCAATCTCATTCAAGCGCGCGATGACATAGTATTGGGAGTGAGGAGAAAGCGCATCCGACCCACCCATGAACAGCGGGAAAACAAGAAGCTCAAGGAGGCAACAGTCTGAGGGGATTCTCGCTGTAGCGTCTAAGATCCTCGCCACACACTCCTGTATCTCATTGCTTCGGGGTTGCTGTAATGGGTCTAACAAACGAAGGATGCGTAGAATGCAAGCATACTGAAACGCCTCCGCTGTGGACATCCACCGAGGATCAGAGCTGGGGTATGTTCTAGCTGTCCTGTCAAACGAGTAGAGCTTGTGCTTTGCCGATTGTAAAGCAACTTGATACTCGTCCCATGATAGCCAACCGAGATTGTATTCCTTTGCTTTTTCCAGGGCTGCTCCAATAACCAGGAAAATCTCCCTGGGACATCCGTTGACTAGCTCGAACTTTTCATCGGTGGCACTGGCGACGGTTTCGCGAATGTCCTGAGAGAAGCACAATCGTTCAGGACCAGCAAAGGCACGAATGATGTCAAGCCTGAACAGAATTTGATAGTCAGTGAGCTGAGGTGCTAAATCAGGTGCTGATTGCAAATACCAGGCCAAATTTCCCAGAAAGAAAACCGCTCGTCGCCGCCGACTATTCAACCCATCCGCTAATAGTAGCTGTTTGCACACTGACATTGCCCGGTAATGTGTATTCCATGGGTAGAGATACCCGTCTCAGCAATCTTTAAACTTGGTCAGAAGGCTGGCAACGCGGTTTCACCATGACTTACGTCGTGTAGCAGCAGAATCTGAATTATGGCGAGAACAGCATCTTGCTCGTCTTCATGCAGGAAATTAGGTCCCTGACTCTTCCTGATTTCCTCGCTGAGAGCGCGTATGGCTCTCAGCCGATACTCGACTGCAGCCTCCTCATATAGAGACATATTCCCTGTAAGTTTGCCAAGATGAGAGGCCGAGAGCCCAAGTATGGCATATAACAAGCCGATTTGTTTCCGCGCCAACGGGAGTATATAGGCTCGATAAGGATTACTGCTAGTACCACCTATCTCAGCAATTTGATGAGGGCATATGAAACTTTCATCTGTGCCACTCTGGTGTCAGTGTTTCTGCCCTCCAAAATCCAGCCAATAAGAGCTTACAATGCGATAACAACATCTCTGTCTGGGTGAGATTCAGTATCTTTGGGATATCGTCTGGCAATTCTGTTGCGCTTCTGCTAGGCTTCTTAGAAGACGGTTGCGTTGCGACGTCCTTTGTCCGTCCAGGCGTATCCGAGTCCGGTGTTGCGGTAGTAGAGACTTGCTGCGACTCAGCAACGGTAGATTTAGCTTTGGTGTTCCTTGGAGTCGGCACTCGTGCGCCTTTCCACCTTCCCCGACTAGCGATTCCGCAAAACCGGTACTGGTCGGGGTACCCACCGCATTCTAAGCCTTTTGAGATGCAGCGTTGACACTTGGGTCTACCGCGGTCACACTTGCGGCACTTCTCCCGGCATGTCTTGCATGCAGGGCCTGCAGCGGTACCTAACATCAGAAATGGTTGGCTATGGTCGCACAGCATATGAATAGATGGTGACAAACCAGCTCGTGGCATTCCGTAGGCAGCGAAGGCACTTCAGAAGGTGTGGCTCTTGGCTTTCATTGAACAAGGCCAGGTGTCAAGGAAAAGTAATTTGAAAAAGAAGCAGTGAATTGACAATTATATCGCCAATCGTGTCCGATTGAAAGAGTCTTCTACGACAAACAGAATGAGCAATCGAGGTGTTGGCTTTTTATATATTTTCCAACTTGTCCAAATTTGAGAGACTTGTTCAGGATCGATAATACAACGACGGTCTCTGGCTGAAATCGATAACCGCCATCAAGCCTCAACAGTAGACTTCGAATTAGATATTCAATGGCTCGTAGGTCTTGAAGATTCCCAACGATATTCATTTCGTTGCAGTCAGTTGATGCACTCCGTAAGCACTTGCGAGGACACATATGGAGCTAGGCAACATTGGGTAAGGCGTCAGGCTATGGTAGAGCTGCTTCTTCTTATCGTCTTGCACGTGAATGTGGGGTGTTTGCATCATTTGTCTGGTTAGTTATTGCTTGTCAAGCTGTCAGCCTTGTCGTATCTTCGGTCCGTTTGTCGCTCCGGTCATTATTGACGCAGCGAGCTGATGCCTACATCAGTACTTCGCCACTACTATATATACTGGTCCTACCTTTTGTGTAAGACAAACTTATTTTCCACTGATACTTTGATTCTCACAGCTGAGGAAATGGCCGAAAGCATGAACACGCTCAACTCTGACAATGTATTAACCCACGCTGCGAGGGGTCTCCGGAAAGACAACGAGGGTCAGCTTAGCCTCAAAACACCCTACGAGGCTATTGCGCTCATTGGTCATGCATGTATGAAGGCAGTCGACTTCAGGCTTCTCGGATTGGGAGAGGAGCACACTATAGGTCTGCGCGAGATTTATTTGTGACATAACCTTCATTATTGTATCATTGGACGCATATGGCTGACGTACTCGTTCGGAAGCAGAAAGCTCGACTGAAGACCAGACCTTACCCGCAGAGTGGAATGCTAACGATACATATTCTTTTCGCTATGCCCATTCACAGTCCTCCATGCAGTTCTTGCTGAAGATCAGTCGATTGGGGAATAATGCCGTTGTCCTTGCCTTGGCCCTAGGCGATGACAAAACCTCTTCATTTGATCTGCCAGTTAAGGACTACATTTCCGAGTCCGCCTTTCCTATTACATCCGCAGATGACCTGGCGAAGACACTGAGGGATGTGTTCATTTCCGAAGCGCGGCTGAATGACTTGATTGGGCTGTTTAAAATGAACGTGATTCTGAAGCTAGCTCCTGGCTTGTACAAGGAAGGATACGAAGACACCACTCAAGCCCTACGAGAAAGGCAACAAGAAAGGCCACCTCAATATGATCCCTTAAGGGATGATACACTACCTCAGCCTGCACGTCCTTATCCATTTGATGATCCCCTGGCGGCAGGTCCTCGTCGACCGGCGCCACCAGGCGATTTTGCTCCCCCAGGATTTGAAGACGAATATGAGATCTACAGACCTCCTCGAGGATATCCCCAGGGGAATGGTGGCCGTAATCCCTTGAGTATTGGCGATAGAGATTTGTATCCTGCCGGTCTTGGTCCGAATGATCCTATTCGAGGAGGCGTCGGCCCTGGTCTTGGAGGGGGAGGTGGTGGTGGAATGCACCCAACATTTGACGACCCCTTGTTCGGTGGTCGCCGAGACGGTGGTTATGATCCCCAAGTGCCCCCTGGATCTCGATATGATCCCGTAGGTCCGGGAGGCGCGCCATCCGGACGAGGGCGTGGTCCGTTTGGAGGAGGCTCTGGAGGAGGATTTGGAGGATTTGGCGGTGACATCATTTAGGCGCGCGGCTAAAGCAGTAAGCCATTTGTAGCTGACAAGGGCACACAATATGGGCTCGGGTAGTGCTCCTTGCTAAATTTATGACAGAATGCATGATGAAATTAATCTATAAACAAAGCATCTACAATTTGTGATTAATTCAAAATTAACTCTCTATAATACCAATGTAATCGCCCTTCTTGGCATCAAGGACGCCAAAACTTGGTCGGGATTCAAGTTCCTGGAGATCGTGGAGAGAGGGTGTGGCTTGGACGAGCCAAAGTGTGGCGCATGCCCGACACCTCCTGGTGTCGTCCAGCACAGCACTGCACAGCAAAGCAATCCCTCCCCTACACCAACACTACCAGGTCGCTTTTCTCCCAACTTTCGTCTCTCATCCATCCCACTGCATCCGAATTTTTTCCTCGCCCGTTGAAGCTTATATTGTTCTTATTCAATTCTATCTCCTTTGTTTTGTGGATTCTTGCATCATCACAACCGAGAAAATCCCTGGTCAGCCTCACGAGACCGTCCCCCTCCAGTCTCCCGCCCCTCCACATTTGCAGTTGTCCTGAGCTTGTTGTCGCCCAACATTATGGATAATAACATGGAAATTGATCCGGCGCGGTCACCGGAGCCTCATCACCTTTCACCCACAACCGACCCTGGGTCCATACCTACGCTCGATGGGTGGATTGAAAACCTGATGACTTGCAAGCAACTAGCGGAAGATGATGTTCGGAGACTGTGTGATCGAGTGCGTCTTTCTTGATATGTGTTGACTCCGACATCACTGTGATAATGAAATCTAATCGAGGTTTGCCCATTCCAGGCTAGAGAAGTGTTGCAGGAAGAGTCGAATGTGCAGCCAGTCGTATGTGCTTCCCTCGGCCTGTTCTTGCCGTGTCATTAATGCGGATCGCTCGAGATATTGACCTGAATCTCTCAGAAATGCCCCGTGACTGTCTGTGGTGATATACATGGTCAATTCCACGACCTAATGGAACTGTTCCGCATTGGAGGTCCTAATCCTGACACAAACTACCTCTTCATGGGTATGTGACATCGCACCCTTGATTCGTCCTTTTTGTCTCCTTGCTCCGTGACTCATAACAGACTTGTGTCTCCAGGTGACTATGTCGACCGTGGCTACTACTCTGTAGAGACTGTCACGCTTCTTGTCTGCCTCAAAATCCGTTACCCCCAGCGAATCACCATCCTCCGAGGAAACCACGAGTCCCGCCAGATTACACAAGTGTATGGGTTTTATGACGAGTGCTTGCGCAAATACGGCAATGCCAATGTCTGGAAATACTTCACCGATCTTTTCGACTACCTTCCTCTCACCGCTCTCATCGAGAACCAGATCTTCTGCCTGCACGGCGGTCTGAGTCCCTCCATCGACACTCTTGACAACATTCGTTCTCTGGATCGGATCCAGGAAGTTCCTCATGAAGGACCCATGTGTGATTTGCTCTGGAGTGACCCCGACGACCGATGCGGCTGGGGTATATCTCCCCGTGGTGCTGGTTACACCTTTGGGCAAGATATCTCGGAAGCATTTAATCACAACAACGGCTTGACTCTTGTTGCGCGAGCACATCAATTGGTTATGGAGGGCTACAATTGGTCTCAGGATAGAAACGTGGTCACCATTTTTTCGGGTACGACCCCTTTTCCCCGCTCGTGTCTATGCCCACCACTAACGCGCCGTTCTTAGCCCCCAATTATTGTTACCGCTGTGGTAACCAGGCCGCAATCATGGAAATTGACGAGCATCTGAAATACACATTGTATGTTCCATTGAAAGCGACTGTCCCATCTTGGTTTATCTGTACTGACCGTTTTTCTCAAAGCTTACAATTTGATCCTTGCCCACGCGCGGGAGAACCAATGGTCTCGAGACGTACACCTGATTATTTCCTGTGATGTGATTCTAATAGACACTTTTTTCATCACTACTGACAAGTTGAGCTTCTTATGACCCTTGAGAGGGCTACTGGGATGCTGGGAGCATACGAAAGGACCCACTTGTCACAATAATTGTATGTCCTTATTTCAGGCCGTGTTGATACCAATTATGAAAATAAAAGACGTTCGCAAGAATATTATCATTCTCCCTCTAGTGTCTGGCCATCAATTCTGCCGTGGTCATGGAACTCTATATTTGCGATCAGTGTTGGGTAATCAGTATCTCTGAGGACCTCGTCTGCCATGCTTTACATAGCTCCTGGAGATTTCAAAAGCAAACCTGGAGGATTTTAGCTGATCCGTATGGAAGAAACGAAATGATACTCACCTCCATCCACGTTGACGATTTGTCCGTTAACATAGGTCCCAGCCTTGCTGCAGAGGTAAAGAACGACACTGCCAATATCGGATTCCCGTCCAACTCGGCCTATCTCAAAATCAGCTCACTCGAGCCCGCAAAGCACAACCACCAGCTCCAATAAAGCAAGACTCACCAGCCGGAAACTTCTTCCCTAGCTCTTCCTCCTGCCTACACCTCCGATTCTCATCAAACCTGCCGATACTAATCTCATTCGGGAACACGCCTGGCGTAATACAATTCACACGAACCCCCAATGGCATAAAGGTATGCGCCCACTCCCTCGTCAAATGTATCAGCGCCGCCTTACTCGACGAATAGGCAAACTGGCCCTGCGAATGCGTCTTCGTCACACCCGCCACGCTCGCCACATTCAGCACAACGCTCGAATGGCCCGGTGCCGCCTTCGCTCCCTTCACAAGCAGCGGTAGCAGCGCGGCTGTGAGGAAATGGTGCGAGCAGACGTTGCCGGCGTACGCGATGCGCCAGGCGTCCGCTCCGTCGCGGGTCATCCATCTCGAGACAGCGTCTGGGTCTGTGAAGTCGGTGTCGGAGGATGTGGCTTTCGCGCCGGGCTCGCTGGTGACGCCTGCGCTGTTGATGAGGATGTTGATCCCTTTTGATTCGGCTTTGGTGAGTTCGGCTGCGATGCCGCGGATGCCGTCTGTTGTGGAAGTATCTCCCGGGAGTCTGGAGTCAGTATACCCCCGTCAGCAGGGATGGTGGAAGGTGGGATGGGATGAGAGGGGACGCACGGTGTGATCTGCCCATTGAAGGAATATTTCTCCCCAATCGTGTCGAGGATCTCCTCCCTGGTCCCAATGATGTGGACTCGAGCGCCGTTTGCTGCTAGTGTCTGCGCGGCCATGAGACCGACGCCGTTGCCTGCTCCTGTGACGACGGCCACATAGCCCTTGACCTCGAAGAGGGTGGCTGCTTCGAGGTCGTGGACACTGATGTCTTTGAAGTTGTACCGTGGGGCTGATTCCATCTCGCTAGGAATTTTCGGAGCTGCAGATGAATAGATATCAGTATGCTGGGTACATTGAGAGGATCGGGGATGGGTGACACATTTGTAGGAATGATCGCATGTTGACATCTTTTTGAAGTCATCGCTTCGATGCACTGCATTTCGCTGCTGCGTTCAAATAACACAGCTGGCCGCTACTCTGCGTGTCGTCATAATGGATAGCGCCTCGATATACTACTCGTCGGGAGTCGCAAGCTTGTAGCTTATCGATGAGGAGCATGTGGGAAGTCTAGCTGGAGATGAGCGGATGTGTAACTGCGTTGGTTGATAGAAAGATGTAGGAGGGGCGAACGCATAATTTCATGGAAAACGTTTATGTAAAGACTGCGAGTCAAGAAAGACTTTAGGTACAGGTAGAGCGCTAATGAACGATTGGATATAGACCTAAACTCGCAGTCCTTGCGCCTTCTTTGCCAAAATCTCTTCAATCTCTTTGGCATGTTTGGAGAAATTGTCCACCAGATTATCCCACATCTTGGGCTCGTGCTCGTGCCTCTTTTCACTGTTCCAAGCATAGTCTGTAATTGTGAATGGGCGACTGGACTCGAACATGAACGCGATCGACGCCGGTGAAATCTGCATAACAGGTGGTGGGTTCTCCGTGGCAGCTTTGAATTGCTCGTACGCTACACCATGAGGGACCACTGACCATACAGTTAGCACCTTATGCAAGCAAAGAAAATATCGCGACGGCTACTCACTTCCACACTCAAACGAAATGCTTCCGGGGTTGAAGGCGTCCGAGCGGCCACCATATTCACCATAGATCAGGCCCATCAGTTCGGAGGCAGCATTGCGATGATAGTAAGGTGGTCGGTAAGTGTCTAGATTCGTTAGCATGCCAACGGCATATTCTTTGTGGATAAGAACCACTTACGAGACGCTACATCCCAGCGGGGAGAGAAGATGAGGAAATCGGCCAAAGGCGCCGTGAGGTCGCGAGATTTGGCTGTGAGTACGCAGAAAATGGATGGGTCGATATGATCGACGGAGATTGAGCCGACATTGACGAATTTTGTCAGGTCATACTTGTATGGAACCTAATGATATAGGGTTAGCTTCGCCCTGCAAATTGGGAACCATAATGAATTAAACTTACATAGTTACCATGCCAGGCAACAACATCAAAAGGACTGTGATTTTGCGTGCTCCGGAAGAATTTCCCTCCAAGCTTGTAAATAATCTCCCAGGGCTCCTGAGAAATCTCATACTTTGCATGGGGAGTAAGGAAATCTCGAGCGTTAGCCAAACCATTTGCTCCGAGCGGTCCCAGCTCGGGTAGCTCAAAGTAAGATCCCCAAACTTCCAGGATATACCCACGAGAAGGGCCGTCAGGAAGCTCAACGCGGAAGCGAATACCACGCTGGATGACCACGATTTCTCCGGGCTGAACAAACAAGGGACCAAATTCGGTCTGAATGTCCAGGGCACCCTGCTGAGGAATTATAAGGAATTCACCATCAGAATTCACAAACGCTTTCTTCTTCATGCTGGTATTGGCCGTGTAGACATGGGTAGCGAGGCCCTCACGAAGGGTTGGGTCTCCTGATCCTGCTACAGTCTTGAGACCGGAGACGAAGTCTGTCTCCTCCCCAGTCGGAATCTCAAATGGATGCCATGCTAACTGAGTTGGAGAGACGCGCACTCGAGGATTCATCGGCAGGAAATTCGACTCTGTGTCTTTGTTGTCAGGAAGATCGGTCTGTAGCATCTTCAGCACGAGTCCAACGCTCTAAGTGGAGTCAACATACAAATCCCTGGTGGGCAACTGCCGGACGAGCACGGTACAACCATGCCTTCTTGTTGCAATGCCGTGGGGCGACAAAAGCAGTCGCGGTGATTTGCTCGGCATACAGGCCGAATCTTACATTACGAGGACTGTTCTGGCCCTGGGGAATGGTACCTGGGACAGCCTCGGAGACAAACCTATAGAGATTCTACATCAGCAGATTGAATGGTGAGATGTAGCTGCGCACTGTACATACGAGTTGCCGAAGCCGGCTTGATACTGTACGAGTTAGCTATCACGAAGAAACGAACAAAGGTAATGAGAACGTACCTGGTAAGGATCATTCCGTCTCGTGTTGAAAGAAGGAATGGTACCGTCCTTTTGAGTTTCTGCCCAGTGGAATATCTTCTGATACTCCTTGGGATCAGATAGGGCGCTTGTAGAGGCCATGCTTGCGGTTCTGCGGTTCGGTAGGCAACGATCAAGTAGTGAGTTCAGAGAATCTCAATCTTCGATTGCTCCAATAGTGATCAATATTGGTGAGGGGAAACACGAAGCCTCAAATACCCTTTCCATTCTGACAGGTCGACGAACGGCTGAATATAGAGTAAACCTTATAATTTGTCGGACACGTTCTCATCCGAATGTTCGAGCACCAAGGAATACGCGAGTGATCCTTTGGCTTCTGATGGTGACGACGTCAGCCTGATTGAGGGCAGATCTGACAAAGTCCATACAAATCGGCATGTTGGAGAGGCTTTGCGTTGCCGAAGCCCAGTAGAGTGGAGCTTGGGGAGGGGAATCGTGGGCGGAGCGATGTCCGTCATCATTCTGCTTTGATCGCATGGCTTGCCAAACCCCACATGAGTAAGCTGTGAGTAACGTGGAGTGATGGTTCTTTCGTCAAGAGCAGTTGCTCATGGTCGGGATTAAGCCTGTGGGGGAATTGCCGAGGATGGGGGATTCCCAGGGCGAAGAGGTCAGCCGACAACGCTCGGTCACTTAACGGATTATCTGCAGTTATGCACACAAGGATGGCTGTGCACAGTTGGATTTACCCCAACCTTAGTCTCTACTTGGTCTACCTACTTTTCGACTTTCTCATGGAGCATGATCCTTGCAGATCTCGAACTTTCTTGAATTTAGGCTGTGTGCCTTAAGGTACCTGAAGGACCCATATCAATTTAGCAGGCTGATTCTGCCTGCCGTCAACGCAAAAGCTATTGGGAGGTAAGCTCCGATGCCAGCCTCTCGCAGCAACTTAAGGTGCTCTACTCTTCGCCGAGACGCAAACTGCGCCTCGGTAATCTCCTTACACTCTCCCAGGGGCCCATAGGCAAATCGTCGGTCTTCAGACCATGGAGACATGCCATTGACGAACCGTATCCAACGCTTCCGCATCTCTTGGCCCACTTCATTTGCAGCGGGGTTGAAGGAGAGATCGATGCCTCCAAAAAGAAACAAGAGGTCGACTGCGTGGTGAGACCGACTGGAAGACTGCCATGGATTTGCTTGGTCAACCACGTATCTGAAAACGCGTTTGTTCGCAGCTTTGAGCTTGTCCGCGACTAGCTCAACAGGGAGTGTGTATCGGGTGTCATTGACAAAATCTAGAGCGCCCAGTTTGCAGGCAGTAGGACGGTCATGGACGACCTGGTACATCTTGCGCAGTTTTGTGCCATAGCTCTTATCGGTCTCGAAAGCCGCAGCAATCGACGCTCCGTCGAAGGTTTCGATTCCGTTTCTCCAAATGACAGACTATAGGATTTAGACCAGGCGAGGGGCAGTGTAAATGGGAGATGAGGACATACCTCATATTCAGTATCACCAATCATGAGTTCCTCGACTTGCTCTGGCTTGTTCCCCCAGTCCTGGAATACAGAATCCTCCTGTATCCACATTGTATTCACATTGCACTCCTGTAATGCGCGAATCAGGCAGTCAACAGACGAATGACGCAGCGACTCCTGTCCCAACTCCTGCACCTTGCTTTCGAGTGTGTTGATGAGTGCGTTGCCTCTTTCGACCGGCAACGGCGAAGAGAGGTATAGCGACCCGGATGCCAAAACTGCTCTTCGGACAGGAGGGCCGGTAATCAGGTGCGCATGAACATAGACCGCCCCTGCACTCTCTCCAGCAAGTGTGATATTATTCTGAAGAGAGAAAAGACGTAAGTATCAGGCGTTCTTAGGCAGCGTCGGGTCACCTACCGGATCACCCCCAAATTCTGCGATGTTCTTCCGAACCCAGTCAATGGCCAACCTTTGGTCCTTTATCGCGAGGTTCTTCTCCTTGCCGTCGCCAAAACTAAAGATATTGAGACGGTAGTTGAAAGAGACGAAAATAAGCGGCTGGTTCCCCTTGATAGATTCGGCAACGATCCGAGTCGGGTCTATGCGTACTCAGGCATCCGCATTGAAGGAATAAATAGTAATAAATATCTTACCGCAGATTTTCGATTGAGCAGAACAGAATGTGACAACTTGAGAACCGCCTAAGGCACTGCCGTTAGCACAATCAATGTCCTAGCTTGGCATCCTTGCAAATCTGCCATCGTACCATATATCCAGACGAGAACAGGAAGAGGGCCATTAGTGCCAGATAGAGGAGGACTGGTAATGTCCAGATTTAGACATTCAAACTCATCCTCAGCTTCGGGCTCGATCTCGAAATCCTCAGGGATGCGCAACAAATGGCGCACGTCCACATGAACCTGCGGACATTTTGGCCTGTTTGAAGACCAGGTTTAGTATACGAATCGTATGCCCATAGAGAATGAAAATAGCTTCACCGCGCTCAGGCACAAGACATACCCGTATTTCGTAGCATCAATGGCAACCCCGTCGAAGCTTTCCACAGGCTGAGCACGCTCGAACCGCGCCGGTATTTTGGCATACTTGATTCCGCGAAATTGGTCAACTATGAGATCGTCGAAACCCCTTCGGACACCTGTAAAGAGTGCCTGAAGCTCTTGATGGTGTACTTGTGGAGCTGCCATAGTCACAATCGCAGAGTCAATCTGGTAGTTAGGGATAAGGGGGAAGCGTGGAAACAGAATATGAAGCAGGTAATGTTTTCGAGGTGTCTGCACTACCTGCACCCTTTTCTCTTCTTGATTTGCTCTTCATTCAGTCGGCTATTATGCTTTCCGAAGCTTATACCCCCCATGGTGACGAGCATGCTTGCGGTGGGGCTGCTGCGGGGATATCCACCTGGTGTGAAATGTTGTAGCTCGGATGATGAAGACGGAATATCGGCAAGTCGAAAAACAAAGAAATTCAGTTTTCAGGATATGATAGCAGAAACAGAATTGCCTTGGAATCCATAGCGGATGTGGAAGCTGTTGGTTGCTGCGGTGAATTGGTGAATGGCTCTTAGTTCCCAATGACCACCTTATTGACTACTGGTCTTCTGATACTAAGTAACCACCAACGAATCGATTTTTCTTTATGATATGAGATTCTCCTAATCTTGGGGATTATATTACATATATAGTTTTTGAATTGCCCGAGTATGTGGTCCGCGTTCGGTACAGTCTATCCAGCTGCTTCGGCAGACTGACTCTCCGTATGCCGTTGCGTAGGTTTCCATATAGGGCCTCCCAGAAAAAGCAATATAGGAATAGCAGACACGCCCATCAGCAGACCTATGACCCAGGACATCGTGCCCCAGCCAGCGCTTTCTCGGATGAACCCAGCCAGGAATGGACCGACCATGGACCCAGCTGCAAAAGCAGAATTGAGGATACCATATGCAAGTGCCATTGCGCCTCCTTTGCCGAAGACTCCGGGTGACTCCGCTTCTTTCTCCTGAACAACGTATGATGCCTCAACAAAGAGCGGTGGAATCAGGAGGGCCAGACAGAGCCCGATCAGAGCCAACAGCACACAAAGCACCACTTTTTGGCTCATAGAATTTGTTGTGACAAGTCGGAGAAGGACGAACAACGGGACTGCGATGAGCAATGCTCCACCAACTACAAAGCGGCGAGCTTGGGGAAACTTGTCGTTGATGTAACCGAAGAACGGATCCAGAAGATGAGGCACCGACACTGGAATGAATATGAGTCCCTGGGCGGTCTGTTTCCACCCGAACGTATCCTGAACAAAAAGAGGAAGGACGCTATCGAGAGATGTCAGCGCAACAGCCACAATAAAATAAGCCCATAGCGTGACAAGCATTCGGTCTGAGGCCAACAGGGTGGTAACAGCACCGAAACGTCTCTTGCGAGGCATCTGTTGGTTTGCATCCCCGATTGTATCGCCTCGCAGCGTCGGGTCGGGCGCTGCATCATTCTCGTTGCGACTGTTACTGTCGCACTCATCATTCGCACACCCATCCGTAGGTTGCTTTTCCGTTGGATTGTCCACCGTTTCTGTGGAAATCTTTCCAGTATGAAGCCACTTCAGGGCATCTTTCTTCTCAATCAAGACAAGCCGCAGGAATATGTCTAAGCCAATTATACCAAATGCGAGACCGAAAACAGCGTAGTAGCCTCCGTTCTCATACAAAACACCCCCAAGGAGGGGGCCTGCCATGGTCCCGAGTGTGATTCCCATTGCCGCATATCCCATCGCTTCCCCCAGGGCCTCTTTTTCTATCGTGTCGACTAGCAGAGCTAGTCCGACTGTCCAAACAACAGCCGCAGATACTCCTTGGAACAAACGCCCGGCAATCCAGAGGCCGAGGGTAGTGCCTACACAGAGCAACGCCGTGGAAGCACCCAAGGCGACCAGCCCTATCAGGAGAGGCCAGCGCCTAGACTCTATCCGATCTGCTAAGTAGCCGGAAATGGCTGAATTGAACGAGGACGGTGAGTATAAATGTCAGGACATAGTCCGGTGGCGAAGGATGGTCAAACTTACGGGAAGCTGCCAACAGCGCGGCGCCGTACAACGCTAATAAAATCGAGGTCCATGATTGTTCTGATGATGAACAGTCAGATTCAGAATCACAGAAAGCGAATATCAACGCATCTCAAGAGGAGGGCGCATACCATCATCCTCAGATAAACCGACTCTCTCATGCAATGCAGTAGGGGTCACAGGGACAATCTATATCACGTTGAGCTTTTGCACATGAATCATCACACGGTAGAAATGACGCTCAAGGCAGAAAGGTCAACCTACAAGTCCATATAGCAAGATATCCTGACATAACTGGTTTTAGCATGTTTCCTTTGGAGGACACCATCCCTGAATGCGAGCTTACAGTGAACGTTGCGAAAGACACCACAAATATGACGAAAACCTTCGAAGACCTCAGCTCGAGGAGAATCGGTCGCTTAGGTTCCTCCTCATGTCTTGATAGCAAGCCACCTAGGACCATAGCGAATATGGGTATCAGATTAAGCTATATCGCTGAGATGTCATTCGGGTACTCAAGTAATAATGTAATTCCCAACCGAGCCGCCCACCTGGGCGAGCCCACCCCTCCCGATTTCGACGCGTTCAAATATTGGATCTATCCAAACAGCTACCATGCCACCAAAGTCGCGTCAAACCTCTGGCAATTTAGTGGAATAAGAGGGAATAATTCAATTAGTAATATCTGCTTTGAAAAAGGGCAAATTTCAAGTATTTGTCCCGCTGTAAAGACATTTAATGTGCCTAAATCTACCCTCCGTGGCCAACTCAATGGATGCCAATATCAAATTAAACAATGTGCCAATGGCCACCAACTATGTCCTACACAGGAAGAATTATTAGTGAATGGATACTATCTAGGGATCTACATGGAGTGCCCCCTAGGCCATCTTATGTGTAAGAAATGGTAAATACCCTTCTCCAGGCAGATAATCCCTCTGTATTCAAACCTATTAGTAAGAACTGGGTATCTATCTTTACCAATCAGCGTGAGGAGATTAAAACTTAATATACTTGATAATATAACTATAGCTAAGCTTAATGTAAGGATCTAAAGATTATTAAGGGGTGGTTTAACTGCCTATAATAGATCTAAATGTAATATGGCATCTCCTATAAAGATATCTATAACTTTAATAACTTCAACAAAAAGGGCTTTGTAATAGGCTTGATTATAACTACTAGGGTAGTAATAAGAGCTAATAACTATGCCTGGCAAGCCTCATCTTATTCAGCCAGGCAATCAGGAATGGGTGATAATAATTAAATATGTTAATACCACTAGCTGGCTGCTTCCTTCTTGTATAGTCTTTAAAGGGAAGGTTTACATCAAGGGATGGTATTAAGATCACACTCTACCACCTGACTGGAGAATTAGAGTCAGTCAAAAAGTCAGTCAAAATAGATGGATAACAGATGAGATAGGCCTCTGATGGCTTCAAAAGGTCTTTATCCCTGCGATAACTAGCCATATAGTTAGAAGATATTATTTACCCATCTTAGATGGCCACGGAAGCCATCTAACACCTGGTTTTAATAAAGCCTTTAAGGATAATAATATTATCACTATCTGCATGCCTGCTCATTCTTCTCATCTCTTACAACCACTAGATGTTGGTTGTTTTGGCCCTTTAAAGCGTGCTTATAGAGGCCTCATTGAGCAAAAGATGCGCTTAGGATATAACCATATTAATAAGTTTAACTTCCTTAGAGCATATCCAACAGCTCATCTAGAGGGTTTTAAGCCTCTAAATATCCAAAATAGCGTGTCATGACTTTGGGCTAGAGTGTCCTGAACAAAGCAAGTACCTTTGCAAATTCGTCTAGCGACACTTGCTCAGTGCGGTCGAAGAGAACACTTCTTCGCAAACTTCCCTCATTGTACGGCCCGTTCACTTGCCCGACATTGGGTGCCGGACCGTAGACTCGTGCCGTAAAGCCAGCTTCTACATCATTCTGGGCGATGGCGGGCCATGGCTTCATACCATGGCAGAATTTGAAGAAGTCTTCGGCGAAGGTAATTGCAAGTTGCTGCTGGTCTGGCCCCATGAACTCTCGGAAGTTCTGGAACAGGTAGGCTAAGTCAAGGATATGACTCGCTCGATCTTTCCAAGGTCCGTCCCATGGATTCCCTTCGTTGAAGTGATAGACGTATGCATTGTTTTCCCAGCCCTTTGCAAATGTCAGGACTGAAGCAAAGAAAGCAATGTCATTTATGTAGTTGAGAATAGCTGGGAAGGCCTCGTCGTCTGTCATGTCGCTTGTGATGTTGTACTTGTCCAAGATTTGTTGCGCAACGTCGGATTTAGATGAAAGTACGGTGTCCATCGCGGTAACAAACTTGCTTGCACAGTCTTTCTTCGTATGGGACATCAAAAACGCCATGATACTAGCCTGGAAATGAGAGAGTCGCGGTCAGTAGACGATTTGAAAGCGGTTCATGACGACCTACATCCATCTGAGCGTCGCCAATCATTAGATCTTCGCACCACTTCTTTCCGCGGGAAAGTCGGTGCCTCTGTCGGCCACTCGCGCATAGGTGACTGCCGACGACACCATGTCCCCATCAATCGCAGGAACTGCTAGGACGGTTGGGGGTATTCTGGCGACCAAGTCATCACCCGGTGTTTCCAAAAGAGCTCTGATTCTTTCCTCTGAACTGGCATTGGCCAGTCCTAACGCTGCAATGGCTTGCTGGTAGTTCTGCTCATGTAAATCGTAAGGCAAGGGTTGGATGAGTAGACAGGTACCACTCATTACGATAGCCCGCCTAAAGAGTTGCTCGTCGGAGTCGAGGTGATAAGTTACACACGCTAGCAAAATTCAGTATGCCTGTAACGTAGTGGAAATCAATGATGAGCCAGACATACCTCCTCCAGCGCTCATCCCCGCGAGTGTCACATTATCAGGATCTCCACCGAAATCCGCAATGTGTTTCTGCACCCACCTCATGGCCACTTTCTGATCTCTGAGCCCGTTGTTGGCGTTGTAACCAGCCCGTCGAAGTTCATCAGAAGTAAGGAAGCCAAATGCACCGAGACGATAACTGTTTAGAGTGAGTCCTTGCCCATGTCGCGTCAGGGTACTGGCCATACTTCATAGAAACTGCCACTATGGGTAAGTCTTTCTCAACAGATAACTTGACGAACCGTGCGTAATCGAATTGTGGCCAAGAGTTAGCTCCAAGCACCAGCCCTCCGCCGTGAATGAAGAGAAACACAGGAAGTTTGGAGGTCGCTGTTGTGCCAGCGGGGACGGTGATATTCAGGTTGAGACAATTCAAGTCCGATTGAGGAAGCTCTTTCTTTGGAAGCATATGTTGAATGTGGCCCAGCTCAAAGTCACACCCAAACGAAGGAGACAAAGCAGTTGGACTAGGATTCCTTGCATTAGTTCACTGACTTTGTGGTATATTTCCTGACCACTCTCACCCGTCCTTGCTCGCGTCCAAGGTACTGCCTTCCCGCTGCTCGATGAGTTCCGCGTCTGCGAATCTGTCTTTGAGAGAAGCGTATTGAATACCCAGAAACTGACTCACACCGTCATGAGTCTTGCCTCGAACTTCACCCAGCATTCTCGTCTGAAGTATGGTTGCCATCGTAGCGAATCCCGCTGAGTGCAAGTAGGAAACACATCAGATTGCGGGGAAATGTAGGAAAGAGGCCAACAGCATCCAGAGCTCTCTCCGTGGCTTATGAACAGTCTCTCTGTAGGACAATCCAAGAAGTCAGTTAGCCTCCCGGTTGGCAGCTCTCCATACCTCGGTAATAAACCCATCCAGTAATATGCCGGATTTAACTCCATGAGCTTTGACTGTCAAGTCAACAAAGTTAAGGGGTAATTCCGAACCATAAGGTCTCTCCATCGACTTCATTCCCCATTTCGTGGACGAGTCGCCTTGGCTTCATATGGGGTAGAGATGAGAACGGGCTCGCTAATGGCTGGGCTAAAGCGAAGAATTGTGCGAGACATCCTTCAGAGACGTCCTTCAAGCCGAGCCAAAGTCGAGTTGTTGAAGCTGTCAAATTGAAAGACCCAGAACCTCTATCGGATATCCTCCATCGTCAGGGCTGTTGCCCCGCAATTCCCCCACATTAAGAGACCGAGGGCCCCATAGAACGAAGAGATAAAGTTTCTGTATCGCTGTGGGATTTGATTGGAAGATGTGCAAGTACTGAGTCAATTCCATTCAGTACTAGGTGTACAGGCAGAGAACCAAGATTGCTGTAGTGGTCTCTATTACTTAAATAGCTGAAGTATCGATGCCTTATCCTACGAAGACAGTGTATATACGAGGAGAGGGGAATATAGGCTCTTCCCAGTCGCGCCTCCACGCTATATAGCGATTCTACATCCACAAGGAGGCAATAAGGAAGCGGCTTTCAATGATTGGGAAGTTTGGCCTCTTCATTATGATCATGATTGAAAATTCATGCTGTAGCCACCAGTCTTAGGATCTTGGACGAATTTGAAATTATCCGTCGATAATCCAAACGGCTTGAGGATGCCGTTTCCGAGCTGCGCGAAGAGTTAGCAGTGCTTCAGCAGCGTCAGCATGAAAGAATTGTCGACTCACATCCTTCAATTTACTTATCATCTCCGCCGTCTCCTTCTCCCGTGCCTGGTTTATCCTCCCGGGCAACTCGCGAAGAGCCCCCTGCACAACCCGCTTATCCTCTACTGGTAGGTTGTCCATCCCAGCAAGCGCTTTGTAGTCCTCTTCGGCACCTTGTAAACTTCCCCAGCCGCCGAGCTGGCTCTTCGCTCGTGCACGTCGCATAAGCGCCTTTGCCCGAATACGCATCACGTCGTTCCTTTTCTCGTCCATTTTCTGTAACCGTTTGAGCTCCTCCTCCTCTCCCTCTTCGTTCTCACCGGAAATCTCGACCACGGCGTCTGTCTGTTCTGACAATTGAGGGTGTTGTTTCGTTTGATCTTTATCCGGATTCTGCTGAGGAGACATTGGAATGATGTTTTCCAGACGGTCAAGACAGGTAGTTGCAGAGTCGACAGCTGCCTTCCAGTCTTCCAGCTTCAGGTAGCATGCGGCCATGTTGCTTCGAAGAACGGCAACTTCATAGTCCAGGTAATTGGGGCACGAGGCAAGGGCACGGTCATAGCAGGAAATAGCCTGATCATAGCAGGCAGCCGTAAACAGTTTGTTGGCTTCCGTTTTAATCTCGTGGGATTCTTTCAAGAGGCGCTGTTAGGAGGGTCGATATGAGCATCAGCAACTACTTCTTAGGAGAGGGGCAATCAGCAACTCACAGCTTCTTCTTCTGCGGGGAACCGTGCATCGTGGAAGACATCCTCGCTCTCGCTGTCAGACCCAGGTTCGGGTTTCTGTGGACTCTTGTTCAAATTTTCTGTAGTCATGCTGCGTCAAAAAGCATTAAAGAGAGTGGCAGTGGAAGCTCCTGAGAACGCTGCTCCGAAGCTTGAGTGGATAAGTTATCGATAATCGGGAAGCCCGTCGGACACCGGGACTCGATCAATCCCAACCGTTTCCCCACGATGATAAAGCGGCATGAAAGAAATTCCCGAATGGGTTAAACTAACATCAAAGACGATTGGCACAAGAGTGTGGAGTAGCCTTATCTGAGCGTCTTTAAACTACAATTGAAGATCTGATCCTCTGTCACTCTGCACTATTCTTTTCGTCTGCGAAACGATTACTTCACCATGACCAAAAGCGCGACCGAGTAAGTTCTCAGGTCCAGATTCACTCACTCCCATGCTCATGGAAGGTCCACCCTGCTGACTGCCCCTCTAACAGATTTCCCCGCGTGCGGGCATGCCTCTTTGACATGGATGGATTGCTCATCGATTCAGAGGACAAATACACAGAGATCACGAACGCAATCCTCCAAGAATTCGGAAAGCCACTACTTCCTTGGGAAATCAAGGCTCAATTGCAGGGTCGACCACAGCCTGAGGTGAGTCCTGCCCCGCATCTTCAGTCCACTCGGTCATTGAGACTCGAGGGTCTTGTCTCAACCCGATTATGTTCTTTCCTAATATTCTACCGTATAGGCAAGCAAGATCTTCCACCACTGGGCTCAACTCCCCATCAGCCCCGAGGAATACGGCGCGAAGCAGGCCTCCCTGCAAGCCAAGTACTTCCCCCAATCGCAGCCACTACCGGGTGTCAGAACTCTCCTGTCCAAGCTTCTCTCGACCCAGAAGACGGACCAACCAGTCTACATCGCCCTGGCAACATCATCGCATAGCAAGAATTTCAAACTGAAGACCGACCATTTACAGGATCTGTTCTCTGCGTTTCCCGAGTCACAGCGCGTACTAGGTGACGATCCTCGAATTGGTAAGGGAAGAGGAAAGCCGCTACCGGATATCTATCTTCTCGCTCTTGAGACGATCAACGAGGGCTTGCGGCAGCGAGGAGAACCTGAGATCAGGCCCGAAGAGTGTCTTGTCTTTGAAGATGCGGTTCCTGGTGTCGAGGCGGGACGCCGAGCTGGAATGCGGGTAATTTGGTGTCCTCACCCGGGCCTACTAGGGGCTTACAAGGGCCGAGAAGCGGAGGTACTGGCTGGGCTGACGGGTGAACATAAGGAAGAGGAGAAGTCCGTCCCGGAGAAGGAGGCAGAGGAGTTGGCGGCGTGGAGAGTTCAAGGCGCCGGTAAACCCGGCGAGATTGACGATGGATGGGGAGAGTTGGTGTCGACTTTGGAAGACTTTCCTTACAAGAAGTACGGTATTCGTCCTGCGTAGCCTTGTGTATTTCCTCTAGTTACAGTTGTCTTCTCTGTTCCATTCTCATATTGTACATGAAGCGATGTGAATATGTCAATAGAGCAAACTAGCATATCAGCAGCGATAGATCAATCAAGGGATCAGTGCAATGATAGCACAATCCAGTTCAAAGCCATGCATAGCACAGCCGGTGCACCAAGCCAGAAACAGATTTTATGCCAGAAATAACAGGAAAGGGCGAATAAACAAACGTGTCATCTATTAATGTACAAAGTGTTTGACGGCAGCGTGTCGAAACAAACAGCTAGAATCCATAGCGAAATAAGTACGTGATGAGAAACAAAGGGATTCGAACGATCAAACGCAGGTGGAAATGGATGGATATCTTCGCCAACGCCAGCAGAGGATATCAGAATGCAGCCATGACAGTGCAGTAACAGTAGGCAGAGAGCAAACAGAGGCAACCCAAGCACCAAATGCCACAAATGATTGAATGTCATCACGTTCGTTTTTCAAGTCAGCGGAATGAGATTCTGGTTATTGCACAGTAGCATAACCAAGAAAAACAAGATAGCGTTCGCCTTCGAACAAGGGTATCACATCCTAAGCTGCGAATAGACGCTGCTAATGAAAACACAATGAGCGAGACACCGATGAGAGATGCATTGCACCGAAGCAGCCAGTAGATGAGAGAAAAGAGGTTCATGAAAGACGATAAAGTGATACTAAAGTGATCGCAAGCCCCAGGCGCCTCGCCAGTTCGATAAAAAGCATTGTGATGCCAATGTAATAGACGATGAGCGTGACTTAAGTAGAGTCGAATGCATTGAAGAAGCAAGAATGACTGGAGGCTGAATCATTCTTTGCTCTAACGACGTCTCTTGGTAGGAGGGCCGTTGTCATCGGCTGCAGTTTCGGCTGATCCTCGCTTGCGGCCGCGCGTTTGGTTGTTTGGCGGCAAACCAGGGTTCAGTCCCATGCTTCTCGAAACGACGGGATTCGGGCCAACCATTGAAGTGGGAGTCAAAGTCGGCGGATAATAAATTGGCATTTGAGGGGGCAGTTGAGGCGGCGGCGGCATCTCGCCACTCATGCTTGCTGCCCACAGGTAAGGATCCATTGAAAAAGTGTGAGAATTCGAAGTGCCAGGAGTCGGACCAGCGGTTACACTGAAATCAAGAGATATGCCGTGCTGGTCATATTCGGAGTGTGATCCATAGGCATGACCAGCGGCGTTCAGCGCCTGATCCATGGAGAACATGTCCACTGTGCTGTTCATGCTTGGGTGAAGCCCACTGGTGTTTGTAGGAGGTAATTGTCCGGTATTGATCGTGTGTTGGATTTGGCCGGTATTGGACACGCCGGGGTTAATATTGTTGTATCCGGTATTGGTCACACCTTGGTACTGTCCTGTATAGGCCATGCCTGGGACGTGTCTGTTATTGTTCATGCCTTGGTTGTGTCCGGCATTGCTCATAACTCGGTTGTACCCGGTATTGTTCTGGCCTTGCATGGAATAACCTTGCGAGTACTGTCCGTTGTGCACGTGGCTTGACTGCCCGTTCTGCGCGTAGCTTGACTGCCCGTTCTGCACGTAGCTTGACTGTCCGTTGTGGCCGTAGTTTGACTGCCCGCGTGCCGCCGAAGCATGCGAGGGACCACGCTGACCTGAAGTGTCCTGATCCTGGATAGCGACAGTTTCCTGATGGACAGCGACAGTTTCCTGAGAGTCGTTTCCGGCCTTCTCGGCGTCCTCGACTTCATGGGCTTCGTCAGCAGAATCTCCGCCGACTGGCGGCTCTGCCTCAGCCTCCGCCTCAGCCTTTCCCTTCGCCTTGCCCTTCGCCTTTCCCGTCGCCTTTTTCTTCCCATCCGCCTCTGTCTTCGCCGCTGCCTCGACGGCCCTTCCGGTCTTTATTTGCCCTCCCTTGTTTTCGTTGACAATAATGTTCGCGCGGCAGCGGACCAGACACTCCAGCGGGGTGTCCACGAATTCGCGGATGTATTTGCCATGGTAGTCTAACATCCGCTTACAGGTGGACTTGTTCACATGAAAGATCCGGACAATGGCCGCAGCCCTGTCCGGGAAGGAAAGGAGCGCCCCGGTTCTGGCGGGATCCTTGACCTTCGTCTTCTCTCCTTCATCCTCTTCGTCGTCCTCCTCCTCCTCCTTCTCCTCTTTCCCCTTGCGCCCTTTATTGCCCCCTTCTTCTCCTCCTTGGGAGGTGGCAACGGCATTGTGCGATGATACTCTATAATGAGCTCCTACTCTAGTATCAGTAAAGTGTCGAAAGACATGTTGCCACAGAGACTTACCAACACGTTCCAGCAAGCGGCCTCGATTTCCAGGGGTTTTCTTCGCATAGTGTTCTTCCACACAACTGTGGTTTTGTCTTTGTCATCGACGCCGTCAAGGTTCATCATTGCCCGTAAAAAAGAGTTCACAATCCGGATCTTCTGCGCCTGCGAGACTACCAAATGCGGGTCGCGACCAGGTCCTTTGGGAGGATCGATCGCAGTCATCGCCTCTTCCAAGGATGCGAAACTGGTCTGTACTCCAGTGGTTTGTATTTCCGGTCTGCTCCACTCGGGGTTCATAAGATCATGAGAGGTCGGTAATCCGGGTATTGTATCGATTGGCGGAAATTGTTTGTCCACAACTGTCAGTTTCTTACGTCTGTCAGCAGCTGAATCAGACGAGGCTTGCTCCGAGAAGGCCTGAGGTGCCTCGCTGCTATGATAATCATTGGAAGCGGCCGCGAAGACCACGGATGCATGTGGGCTTTGAGGTGCCTTGCCTTGGGCAGGTCTCTCAGAGTTAACTGGTCGGGGTTGAATTTGCTGTTGCTCATTTGAGATATCCCGCGCAGGATGATCTTGGCTTTGATCAACATGATTGGGAGCCGCAGCGGAGCTCAAAGATCGATGTTGCGATTGCTGCACGGTTGGGGCCGGTGTGCCTGGTTGTTCGTAGGAGGATTGAGAACAGCCGAACCATTCGAGTCTTGTTGGGACTGGTCTTGAATGGAAGCAGGAACGCCCTGGCTGTTAGAGGGATACGCCAGCTGTGCCTCCTGGCTGTCAGCAGGGGTTCCGTATGTCTTTTCGGCATTGTGAGCCGGATGAGAGGTCATGTTGGCAGACTCCGAATTGGAAACATTGTTCTGAATCGATGCGGTAAGTGCAGGGTCAATAAGGTCCTCAATATTTGCGAATGGAGGAGTGCTGTCACCCGAATTCTTTTGGGACGAGGACTGTGCTTCGGAACTTTCCTCTTTCTCTCCGGATAAGTCTGAATGAATTGGCTCGCTCCTAGCATTGTCGATAAAGGTCATTAGAAGTCCACCGTGGTGGGAAGGATTGACGAGAAAGAGGCATACCAGCTTTGGCCTTGATTGCCATTTCTTCTTCTACCTCCGTCCGATTGTTTGGCAAAGGTAGGAGTAGTTTTCTTTGCAGGTTCTTCGACAACTTGAACGTAGGCTTGAGCGACGGGAGTGCGAGCATCGAGACTTTCGGACGTGTGGCTTTCGATCATCTCCATGTCGTGATGAGCATCATATGTGCCACCAGTGCAAGCAGGGTCTGTGTCCTTGCGGGTTTCGACATTGGAACTGCCAACGCCGACGGACTCAACTGAGACATCGTGGTGCTGAGCAGAGGGGTTGCCATAACTGGGCATGTCATTCTTCTGTTCGTGGTCTTGAGCATTGAAGCCGCCAACGCCATGATGCGCAGTTCCTTCTTCAATGTGTTGGACTCTGGGTGTGTTGTTGTGATGCTGGACAGGGGATACCTCAAGAACAGAATTGATACTAGGAGGAATGGGAGACAATGTGGTATTTCCCCAGAAAGCAGCGTCGAGTTGACCCTTGTTGCGAGTCTCAACTGCCCTTTCGAAGATTCCAGCGTACTGGGCCTCGTCGCCGTGGTCATCAGCTTGACGTTGGATGTTTCCATAGCCACGGGTATTGTAAGTCGGGATGAGGTTGCGGCGTTCGAACAAGACATTTGCTCCTGGCTCATGAGAACTTCTGTATGTTTTATCGAATGTCTCCCAGTCAAAGCTGTCAGGGACATGAGTGGGCACTTTTTCAAATGATATGTCATCTGGATCGAAGAAAGCATTGTCAAAGTGGGATCCTTGCTCCTGCTCACCCTGCAGGGCAGTTTCAGCGTGCTGATGAGAGACCAGCCTAGTTTGATCGGCGTTAGGGGATATTAAGTATAGACGACTGGCCAAAGACTTACGCGAGACCTTCCATAGCCGTGGGAGAGCCTGGCAGAGAGAGCATAGTACTCTGCATCTCGGTATGATGACCCATAGCCTCAGGAGGAGCACCAGCAAACTGAGGCGACATCCTCGCGATGATTCACTTGACAGTCGCAACAACACTCAGAAGCTCGCTTGAAATTGCAAGATAGACAGTTTTTGAAGCTGTATGAGTGCAAGATAATGATTGGAAGACACTAAGTAAGGATAGAAGGATACGATTGGCAGGTTTGAGGGAGTATGAGAGAAGAGAGATGGTTGGTAGAGTGGAAGAGAGATGTGTAGAAGTGAAAGTTGTATTTGACGACATGAGACTCGAAGGTAGAGGGAGGGAGGTTGGGGCCAGCAAGCATGAGGTGAATAACAGAGCATCGAAAACCTGAAAGTAGACGGGAGATACCGTTAACAAAGCGGAATATGCCATGTCCTTGGAGCCTGCAAACATAGTAGGGTGGGCGGTGTTCCAAAAATGGAAATAATGAGGGCAAGTTTGCAAGTTTGCAAGTTTGCTACTCGAAGATGCCCCAGTTCAATGGGTCACAATAGGTCTTCGAGGCATCTCGAAGCAAAGCCATGCACACCACGCCGGGAGACAATTAAATTCCATGGTGGTATTGGCAACGAAGTGTTGATGGCGGCCTAATTGTGCGTCTGATTGAGGCTCTGGAGACAATAGGTCATTGAGGTGCTGCGTTGCGCAACAACGCTATTGTTGAGACGCTCGTGCTCTGAGCAGAGGATTGCGCTCATTGAGGACCCGACCAGAAGCAGTGTACAATAGCTGGTGAGCCCCCATCAAATTCAGGCGCAATGACAGCCTCTCAACCGGGCTATTGAGCTATTTAGCAACCTTGAGTTCCTCTATCATTTTGCAAGCAGATCCACGTACCAGTCCCATATTACTGCACCCTCTTACTCGGCTGACGAACACAACCAGGCTCAAAGTTTGACCTTGAACTCGTCTCATTCCTTGAAACCATCACTGAGGCGAAATAATTCAACTGAGAGCGGTATCTAGGAATGGCATCGACCAAACTTTCAGGCTATTATCGACCTTCTTCGTAGGATGAACCGTCTCGTCCACAGCACTTATATCACGCGAGGAACGCCTCTGACCAGAAGTTGTTGCTGCAATAGTTTCCATGGGATGCAAAACAGTACTGCTCACGGCGTCTGTATATTGTAAGCTCCTTGAACTCCCAATTAATTCGTGATCATTGCTTACCATCATGGACCTTCCATTCCCAGTCACATTTTTGCGGTCCGACAGTGTGTGTAGGATTTCGCCATACCCTCATATAACCATCAGTTCCTCCAGCCCAGATCTCATGGGACTCGCCCTGTGCGACAGGTACAACATCGATCTTCATGCGTTGGTTTGTGACAGCCCTTCGACCTTCTAGCCAGCCAAGAAGCTGCCCAGTGACTCTGATGTCGAATATTAAGACCCCGTCGCTTTTCCGTTCAGCAATATACAAATATCTTCCGCAGGGACTCCAAAGCAGTTGCGTGACCCCCGCGCCGCCAATGTGGCGATGAGCGTCCGTCTTTGTAATGCTAAAGGTCCCGAGAGACTCTCCAGTCCCATTGGCCCCATACAGACCTATCTGCCTCGAAAATGTACCCGCAGCCAGGATACCATCTCCCACGGGATTGATGGCCATAGCCGAGATGATACCCTTCATCCCGACTCCTCCACCTACCATTTGCTTACGCTTACTGGGTATTGTAGGCATCCATGCGACGGGGCCCTCACTCCCTGGACGGGATACGTCGAAAAGACATATCAGGCTATCGGATCCAGTGAGGAAGTGCGTACCGCCCAGGGCTTGCGGATACACCATCGAGTGAGGCGTAATGAATGCCTCTGTCGTCGGATGTATGAGCGAGTAAGTTGCCACAGTGGTGGGCACAAGCGCAGACGCGAGTCTAATTGGGTGATCACGGACTGATGAGAGGAACAGAGTGGTAGATGGATCCCGAAGATTGAAGAACGGATAGATGGCAGTGGCGTACGTTGGCTCTGCTGAAGGCAGAACAGAGTAAGGGTCCAGCCGATGCGGTGACGATGTCCCTTCCAGCAAATCCGGAGGCCTATTTCTGCTCGTTAGGCCAGAAACGTCTTAAACCTTTCAACATGACCTACAGAATATAGGTTCTGATATGATGATCCGCAAAATCAGTCAAAAGTGTGGTTCCATCCGGAGACCTATGCAAGTGACTGTTAGCCAAGGTTTCATTAATCGTGCATCCAGTCAGGTCAGTTCCAAAAACTTACCATTCCGCGCCTTTCACGTAATTAAGAGGTGGATCTATTCTACTGCTCTCTTCTGCCGACACAAATGAGAAATCCCGACTTTGTTTGCGAGATGACTGGACATTGACTCGGATATCCTGTGCATCGTCCACTTGAGTTGAAGCCACGCATATTGGGCCTTGAACCAAAGAGTCCTTCTCAACCATCTTGCACAGGAAACTTTCAATGTCCACTATATTGAGAGGAGCAGGTGTGCGATATAGACTATGATGCCTCAAAATCGGAAGACTGTTCGGAACCATGCAAAAACAAAGGAGAGTTGTAGAGACTTGTCCTCCACACTTTTCATCGCATCACTTCTAAGAACTGTGGTGACAGCGAGGGAACTATTCACCTTCCTGCAATCACACTGCGCTTTATATAGTGAACTAGACGGAAGTGGATGGACGTCTCGGCGGCAAGAGCAAGTGACAAACAGCCGAGCATCCCAGTGATGAGTACAACGGGCAATCAATGAAGCCAACTGGCGAGTCTCCTTAAGCTACAGAATATTCGGTTCGAGTTGAGACAGATCCATATATGTCAGTGTTGTGACACTGAGTTAGATAGACGTAACTCGAGTGGCATTGCGGCCGATTCGTGAGGATTCCCGTATGCGATTTTATATGTTCTGCAGACGCCGGGTCCGATGTCCTATCTACCCTAGAGAGCTACACAGGCTTACAGCGGCGGCAGAAGTTAGAACGTCGGCCCCGGTGTATCTTTCCCCATTTAATATTAAGATCAATTTCCCACTAGTCCACTCCGGGAGTTAGGGTGTACCTTACCTAGCTTCCTTACCTTGGTAACGCTGATATCTGCAACAGCGCTGCACTTGCACTGATCTGCCCAAACATTTTTGCGCCTCCTGCCTCTACGCTACCTCGACCCTACCTCGACATCCATATAGCCGAAAGAAAGAGCAATAGGGGAGGTGCGACTTGATTTTATCTAATTCCATCCTTTGCTCCCTGGTCTAAGAAGACGCTCCTTTTATCATGTTTTCCGCAAAACCTTCAACCGGCCTGTCCATAAACACCAATTCCGCCAATTCACTTTTGTAAGTGCGCCTGTGTCCAGAGCTCGGTCTGGAGCTTCAGCTCTAAGATCTGAGCTACAAATTCATGGATCGCGCGATTCAACTAAGCTAACGACTATTTACCTCACGTAGTGGCGGATCTAATGCTCAGACTACATCGTCTACGGCTACACCAGGGACAACGAATACGTCGGGGGGGTTGTTTGGAGGCGCCAATGCGCAGTCAAAGCCAGCGGGCGGCCTTTTTGGAAACCTTGGTGGTGGGAACACACAACAATCTTCAACTACTGGGTCAAGTCTGTTCTCCGGCTTAGGTGGACAACAGCAGAATACTAATACCGCTGCTGCTGGCGGCGGCCTGTTTGGAGGCTCTACACAGGCCAGCTCGCAACCTGCAACTGGTGGGCTCTTTTCGGGGACTGCAGGCGCGGGCACTACGACGGCTCAAGGTGGAGGTACTGGTGGAGGGTTGTTTGGGTCCACGACACAGGCTCAGTCAAAACCGCTATTTGGCGGTCTGGGGGCTTCTACAACAACTGGGGTGGCCTCTTGTGAGTGATCCGCGTTGAGCCTTCTTTCGTTTCATCGACTAATCAGTGAGAAACTAAAGTGGTGGCGGCAACCAGACCAACACACAACCACAGCAACAAGCACAGAAGCCCACGCTATCTCTCTTTGGGAATCAAAATGCCGCGCCCCAACTGTCGACACAACAAACAGCCACAAGCGGAACAGTGGTTCCCGGAGTCAAGGTAGATCTCAGTAACCTCTTACCGACGACAAAGTACGAGAGTTGCGCCGATGAAATCAGATCGGAGTTGGAGAAATTCGACAACTACGTCCTCCTTCAGATCAAGCTGTGTAACGAGGTCTCCAACATGCTTCCTACAATCGCGGGCCAGGCCGAGACGATTCCAAATGATGTGGATTTCGTTCAAGGCAAACTGGAAACCATTGAGCACGCGCTGGAGAACGACGCTCGCGATATTGATCAACTGCGCAGCCTAGTGTCTCGCGATGCAGCCGAGGCACAAGTGGCGTTCCGTGCCATCGATACATTAAAATTACCCCTGCAATATCAATCTGCGGGAGGCGCAGGGTGGTGGTCAGCCCAGGATCAAAAGGGGTCCGACCGCCAGGCGTTGCGATCCACACGCAAGAATACTCTCGCTCTTCCGGACGACGTCGAGACTGACCCCTCGTCTGCCACTTCCATCAACGGTGTGCCAGTAAACCTGGTCGACTATTTCTCTCAGCGCTCTGACGAGATGGGCACGGTTCTTGAACGATATACCGGCAATTTGAAGGAGATTGAAGACCATCTTCATGGTATCGAGCTTTCACTAAACCGCCAGATTCAAGAATTTGTGGCTTCACGAAGTCGAGATGGAGCGGCCGCTGGAACCCAGAAATCGAAGCTCAATGATCTTGCAGCGGTGCTTGGAGATGTGGAGAACGGTATACTTGGCGTTGCTAGTAGGCTCGGTGCGGTCACGGAACAGGTGCAGGAAGTGGTACTGGGTCCGCCGTCGGGAGATGGTAGGCTTAATTAATGATAAACCTCGAGCGGCATGCATAGTATGGTGAGACGCACAGCATCTTGGGTCATTTCAGGACCAATTTTTGCGCCGTACAACTCGATCACCTATAATTTTATCGCTACTTAGAAGAAGTCGTGTATTTCAGCATGAGTATTAGGGCCAGGCGTTGCAAATGAGTGATGACAGAATTGTTCTCTTTTCGATCACGCATTGATATTTACTATGCTTGTTTGCCTGGTCAACAATATCTTCCTTCTTCTATGGTGCTTTTTACGACTCAGCCCAGGACGTACAAAGTAGAGAGAGATCATCGTCGGAGTAAATCAGAACCTCCGCTGTGCAGAGCATCAAAAACACAAATGCGAGGCCAGCCAGCCAATCCCCGGTGGTGGCCATGATTATAAGGCACCCATGGGTGCTGATTTGCCTCCACACAAACGCAAGAGAATGGCGGAGTTGCGTGATCGCACGTCAGAGATGCAGCTTACAGCCACTCCCGGACGCCGGCTCCAACTTTGTTTCAACTGCATACTTGTTATACATTCGAAGCGGGTTGTTTGCCGTGTACTTGCCTATTCATTGGTATTGTTCACGGGTCGTGGATATGATGATTCAGATGTTCTCCGTACAGAGACAAAATAACAACTGCTGGATCACTGGGGGGCGCTCGGAAGGGTGGCAGGCGGCCTAGTGATTACCGAATGAGTCAGATCTGACGGCTTCTTCGCGCCATCGAGCGTTAATTAAATGATGTGACGTGATGTCTGACCATGATGTAGATGCGACTTGATCAAATCCACTTTCTTGGCTCTCAGTCTCGTTTCTGGATATTCTAGTTGGGTGATTGTCCCCAGAAATGGCGCCATTTTCGCCAAACCCGACTCATGAATGATGCGTAATACTGGCACGCAATCCTTCGGAGTACCTGTCAGGTGCTGGTATATGTAAATGCAGCTGGAAGACGGCAATATTCAGGTTCTTGGTCTATCAAGTCTTTGTTCTACCCTTAATCCTTCTTCTCCAGTACTTAATCTATCATATACCAGCCGCCTTCTAGCCCTAATTGCTACAAGCCTACGATATACCACAAGCACAAGATAAACTGAAGAGTACACTATGGCTCCATTGCTGGAGGAACCAGCGGCTGCTCCTTACCTTGGTCACTTTACTGTTCCCAAGAAAGAGACTGCAGTGCACAACAAATTCTGGTACGAGCCAGGGCGCACAACAGTCAAGAGACATGACGATTACCCTTACGAGGATCTTCTGCCCTCGTTTCCTGATGTTCGGTGGGAAGCTATAGGGGAGGTCCCATACGAAGATAAAGGGCTTCGCGGAGACCCAAAATTCCGTCACTTGCTCCAAGATGCAACTGACGTCTTTGACTACACACCGAGAATTGGAACGGAAATACATGGGGTCAATCTGGCCAGACTCAATGATGCCCAGAGGGATGACCTTGCCCGCCTGATCGCCTTCCGTGGCGTGGTATTTTTCCGCAATCAGAAGGATTTCGATATTGAAGCTCAACGGGAGTTGGGGAAATATTTCGGGACCCTGCATAAAGTGAGTCTTGACTCCCTCAGATCGCCGTGAGGTCGTGACAGATGTCTAACCGTGATGTAGCATGCCACTACTGCTGTACCAAGGAAGAAGGGGTTGGAAGACGTGCATGTTGTCTATACTGGGGACAACTCCTCTGACCAGCGAGCACTGTTTTCCCCTAGCTTCCTATGGCATTCCGATGTAACGTACGAGGTTCAACCACCATCGTACACATCATTGAAGGTCTTGACGGGTCCTCCTCGAGGCGGCGGTGGCGACACACTCTGGTCGTCTCAATATGCGGCATACGACGCTCTTTCATCGCACATGCAGAACTACCTGAAGGGCTTGACTGCTCTCCATACAGCCAACATGCAGGCATCAGACTCACGAGCTCTTGGTCGAACTGTTCGTCGAGAGCCGATCACCACAGAGCACCCTTTGATTCGCACAAATCCAGTCACTGGCTGGAACAGTCTCTTCTTTAATCCTGGTTTCGTAACCAAGATTGTGGGAATCCCCAAAACAGAGAGTGACGCCATCATAAGGTACCTCACCGAGGTTGTTGCCACCACGCAAGAGGCGCACGCTCGTTTCCAATGGGGTGAGAACGATGTGGCTCTGTGGGACAATCGAACAACAGTGAGTGACACACAGATATTCTCCATCATGATCCTTCTGACGTTTCTGTAGAATCACTCCGCTTCTTATGGCTTCTCTCCCCACCGTCGTCATGCTGTCCGAGTCGCCTGCCACGCTGAACGCCCCTACTTCGACCCCGAGGGCAAATCCCAGGAGGAGGAATATAATGCGTATTATAACCTACCGGCTGTGAACAAGGATGGCTCGCGTCAATCCAACTATAACGATTGATCTTGGGGGCTGGTCCCTTCTTCTTATCCTTGGCGGCTGTGAGTCGAGAGAACTTATTGCACATACCCTTCTCGATGAGGGTGAGCAAACATAATGAATGATTTATGATAGATACGAAATAATAGTTGCTTCTGGAATATATCTGTGAAGCGAGTGATCAAATGGATGCATGTTTCTCATGTAGGAAACTTTTTATGACATTGTCATAATGCTACAACACTGAATAAATATATATTTAACAAGATGCTAGAGACGCTTCATTGCTGTTCAGCTCTATTACTTGTACAGTACGAATAGTCAGGACATGGGTTTACATATGTGTCTGAGCTGAAGAATGACAACGCCTATCCCAGTAGAAGACTGCTAGTCTCGTCATCCACAACCCACTCCACTGAATCATTCTCGATGTCAGCCAAACACGACCCATTTGTTCTCGAATACGCCCGATTCCACGGAATCGCTCTTGACTATACCGCAATCAATCCCAGCCAGCAATTTGATCACTCCCTCAAACTGCCACCAGATGATCCTCCCGTGCCCGAAGACAAGTTGACATCGCTCGATAAATACCTCCTCACCGCACAAGAATCTGTCGAGAAAGCCATCCTCGGAGAGAAGCTCAATGTGAGGAAAGAGGATATTCGGTTTCTCTCAGCAGTCATTCGTGACGTGAGTACCCACGAATTTGAACTCAACCTGGAAGATCATTTGGCGGCCTTTCATCGTCTCAACAAGCTCAAGCTGGAATCTCCCATCTTCAGTCTAGATTATGAGACGCACTCGACACTTCCTCAAAGGCCGGTGCTCGACAATCCTGAGGGATTGGACCTGCCTCCTCTCGAAGAAGCTCCGGAGTATCAATCTGAGTCTTTGGTGAAGAAGGCAGATGAGCTTAATGAAGGGATCAGTAATGAGAAGCTCAACTGCAACAAGAAGGCTTTTATGCTCATACAAGATGCAATGAAGCTTGGAAATGTGTCTTCGAATCATCTGGATGATATACTGGCATATGCCATCCGACCAGTGAGTGTCTTGAAGAGCGTTGAGCAGCAGCACACTAATTTGATTCTCATCTCCTACAGATAAACTCTGTCAGTTCGGAATCTCCTGCTCTTGCCCCTTTGGGCGTGGACAATCTATCCTTCAAATGTTCCTCGCCTGAGCAGGAGCTTCAGATGCTACCCAGCCCTGCTTCGACGGAGATCCTAGAAACGTTGAAGCCACAAAGCCATCCGTCAAAAGATACTGATCTCAGCCACAGTCCTGAGGTCCTCGATTGCGTACGCCGGATTTCTATGGGAGGTGCCGATGGCATGACGCAGATAGATCACCACCTATCTGCAGCTGAAGGACGGCAAACCTGGGAAAACGCAACGACGGTAGGCCACGAGGAGCCTTGCGAATTTACCAAGTTCGCAGGCGAAAGGCCAGGTGGCGAAGGAAACTCGCAAGGCATACAACTCCAGACGGACATAAATATACCGGGGCTTAGCAACCATGATAGCCCCTCCCAGGATGAAGAACCAGCTTCACATTCCGCCCAATCAGCAGAACCTGAGGTGTTGAAAGAAGAACCTGAGTGGCTGGCGACTGAAGCTCCAGCCGGAGAGGTTAGGGCAGTGCTTCTACCGTCTGGACCTCCATCAATTTCACCGTCCGCAACATGCTATTCTTCTTCGCATACAAATGACGCAGCATGTGAAGCGTCCCTTCAACATTCTAACAATGATTCGGAAGAGTCAGACGCTCATTATTCAGCTCAAGTGTTACATTCCTCCAGCACTCAGGGACAGGCCAACAAGAAATCACTCAGCAACGTATCTGTTGAAGCAGGCATCGTATCAACGGATCAGATAGTTCCAACACCAGCAGTTCCTGATTCCCAGCTTATCACAAAACAGGGTCAATCCCCCAGTACGTCCCAGCAAAGGAATATGCGCGCTTTTATGGTCAGCGATAGTGGTTCGACTGCGACGAATCGGACTCGGCTTCTGACGAATACTTCTCTCACCGTGACCAACCAACCTTTACAGCAGAGGAAAAGGAAACGCCAGCTTAGCAACGAGCGTTTCGTCAAAGCCTCACAGTCTGAGCAGCAGCAACAGAAGCAGCCGGCGGTACCGTCATTTACAACTCTTGGTTCCTTGACCGCGTTTATGGAGACAAGAGGCCGAAACGAGATGCGGCATACGGTGACCCAAAGCCCATACTTCCCAGGGAAAAAGTCAATCGATGACGCTTCCAAGCGACAAAGTGATGCAGTGAGCACCGAGAAGCCCCGAAGCTGCCTAAAAGAGCCGGACAAAAGCGACAACATCCCGGACATAATGCAGACAGGCACAGCACTTCCTCGCTCTCAGCAGCAGACAGGAGAACGGCCAATCCTGTTCTTATCAACCGCCCTTCTGAAGAGTCATCTTCGGCTCGTACGCTGTCTTGAAGGAATGGCAGGCCAGCCAGCAATCGTATATAGAGACTATAATCGCGACAATCCAGGTACTGACCCTATGGGCAAGCATACGACCTCTCGCATGAACAACAATCCCAGTCTTCAAATCGAAGCAGATATCGTAATTTCGCCGAGTACTGGTATCGTACTGACAACATCGCAGGCGACAACGCAACTATATCTGCCCGGCCACAGGTCCACTCACCCTGAGACGAACATCGAATGCATCAACTCGCCACTCAGAGAACGCATCTTCCTTCTCGCTCCTCGATATGAACGAATCTACCTGTTCATATGCCATAGTGCACCTTTTCCCAAGAAGTCGCAAGGCAAACAATCGGGCCCAACAGCTGACAAGCGAGTCTTAACATCCATCGCTTCGTTGACTGCTTTCTGCAACTCGATGTCCGCCTATGCAACAATCAGCCCATTGCTAGTACCTTCCTGCCCCGAAACCGTGGCGGGCTGGGTCCTTTCGCTTGCGAGCAAGCACATTGCTCGACTTCCTGGGAATCCTACGCGGATTCTGCCCAGCACAGGCTTCACACCGATCAACTCGCCTCAGAAAACTCGATTGAACGCGGAAATGATGATGAGAACAACCGTCTGGGAGCTCTTCTTGCGCCAGGCTGGATTGAACCCGTACGCTGCGCAAGCGATTTTGGCATTTCTCAGACGAGCAGACGAAGAAGAGCGGACTTATATAGGCTACACATCCCCTAAGGCTGCCAGTTCTAGCTCTGTGGAGGACGGGGGTGGACAAGATCTCGCTAGGTTTATCGAGATGGAGCCAGATCGAAGAAGGGAGGTCTTCGGTGAGCTCATAGGTGACAGGATGATGGGGCGCATCAACCATATTCTAGACAAAGACTGGCAGTGCGACTGGGCCCTTAACTTTGACGCTGATGTGGAACTATGAATTCACCTCTGTAGTTAAGCTGGCCCTAAGAATAAGACGGTATTGCTATGGCAGAGAACAGATCCCAGCCTTTGTGGATCATCAGTGGAAGGAATCTAGAGTCAACATACTGGACATCGGCTTGAGAGGAGATTTATCGTGTCTGATATTACTCTTTTCATCACCCCGGAGTCGGCGTGACTCATGACGATTGCTAGATTTAGAAGTACATCCATAGTAGTATGCTGGAGAAGACAAGGTCGTTTCACGCTTTATAACAACAAATGCGCAGACAAAATCAGCCCAAAAAGAGACAGCATTTGGCTGTGTCATTTTTTAGACCTTGATGGTGAGAGATTTGGAATTACAGTGTTCTCGAGGTGTTGTGGGAGCTCATGATTTTTGCACGGTATAATACACGGCCGCCGACTTGGGCGTTCTCAGCCCGAGATCGAAAGGGGGAGAAAGACAGAAAACAAAGGGGATTCGTTCTTTTATTCGTTGATCTTGGCGAGGATCCTATCGCAGAGATCAGTACAATGTCATCGAGGAGCGGACATCGTTATGCTGCAAGGGAACGTACTCAGAATCCCGGAAGAGGTGGTACTCCTCTTCGCCGACCTTGACGGGGCTACCACCGAACTGTATCGCAAGACCCGTCAGCCACTTCATCGAAAGAGAAAATCCAATGTCTGCTGCGCATCGGATCCGTGCGGATATAAAAAGCATCCAGAACGACCAGTACGTACCTGAGGAATGAGAACCTTGTCACCAGCGGTAACGCTCATGGGGAGTCTCTGGCCGTTACGGTCAACGGCACCGGGGCCAACGGCAAGGACCTTGGCCTCGTTCTGCTCCTTGACGCTGCTCTCGGGGAGGAAGATACCGGAGGCAGTCTTGGGCTCGGGCTTGATGCGCTGGACGAGGACACGGTCCAGGAGGGGAGCGAGGTTCTTGATGTTGCGGAGGACAGACTGATCGAGAGAAGAGATCACAGTTAGCGACATGTACCAATCAATGAGTCAGACAAAAACAAGATCAAGACATAGTTGATAGCAGCAATTGTCATGACGAAGGTAGTCCTGAGGTCCCGGGCTAGGTGGAAATACGTACCATTTTGTATGAAGGTGTGAGGAGAAGAGTGCGAGACTCGTAGACTGAGTTTAATTGAGCAGGAATGAAGAAATGTAACAAGTGCGAGGCGTGGAGAGTACGAAAGAGAAGAAGATGTTCGGACAGCTCGTCTGGGGGAAGAAGATCTGGACTCTCCGGGCCGCGAGAAATTTCCAGAATGCCAAGACCGGAGAGCTTCCATCAACACTGCCGAGGGTATCAAGTCGAATGCTTTTACTTTTTCCCTCCTTTGCACGATATACAATGAAATGGACTTATTTTCTCTGCTTTGAGAAAGTGGGCTGATTGATCTAGTCTGGATTTGCAATGTTGAGTGTACAATGGATGTCTCAATGCCAGTTTGCAGCTGAGTCGCCTGCGACAGCTCCTTTTCCCCGAATTTCTTGTTGCGGACAGCTTAAGCTCATGATCTTAAAGATCATGCTCACTGGTATGGTTAACACAGACTGTATACAAGTGAACGCCGCCAGATCCGACCCATTATTCCGAGTGCTACTGACCCCGCAAATCGAACATTACAACATGGTAATAGAAGACATATATCCTTAGCTCTACCATCTTCTTCCTCGTCCTCGGCCGCCAAAACCACCCCTCTGATCGTAACCTCCAAATCCCATATGAGCCTGGCCACCACCTTGTCCTCCAAATCCCGATCCTTGCGACTGGCCGCCGAACCCAGGCTGGCCTTGCTGCTGCCCGGCGCCAGCACCACCTTGGCTTCCCATCATCGCCTGTGCATGTTGCATGAAGGACATGGGATCCATAGATGACGGATCCATGCCTTGCGACATCATACTTGCCAGCATGCCCTGCATCATATCAGGGGACATATCTGGCATTCCTGGCATACCGGGCATAGCTGGCGGCGCGCTGCCAGGAGGCGCAGCAGGACCCGGAGCTCCTGGCATTGGCGGAAGACCCATGGTCAAGAAATTCTGCATATCATCCAATTGCTTCTTCTGGTCTTGGACTTCTTTCCGTAGCTCTTGTTGTTTCAGAACGTAGCTTGCCCAGGTGAATTCATCAAATCCGTAGTTGAAATAGTCGGAGATATCCGAACCAGGTCGTCTCCATGGTTTATCGTCCTCGGTTGGAAAGTCCGAGTCCATATCTGTTGACAGGATCGGCTTGCCCGTAGAAGGGTGAACAGGGTTCGCATTGACATCGATCGTCGACGCGTGCACGGGCGGGTATGCGGATCCAGGCTTCTGAGGTGCGGTTGGTCTTGCGCTGGGTGGCGCCGGAGTGGCAGCTTCGAGTTTAGGCGTTACTGTAGGTGTGACTGATTTTGTCGATATATCCGCTGATGAAGGTCTTTGGGGCTCTGCTCGTAGGTTGGCATGGCGAGGATGTGGTCTGTCTCGACGTTAGATCAAATACTCTTCAGCTGAGTTAGTGGAGGAATCCACAACTTACACTTCCGGAGGCGGCGCATCTGGAGGAGCTTCTGTGATGATATTGAAGTCATCCTGAGAACAAAATTAGTCGATGCGAGAGATTGAACCGCGTGTTATGAGCAAACCTCATCCTCTTCCACCTCTATTTCCTCCTCCTCCTGCTCCTCCCCTTCATTCGATTCTTGAGACTTTTCGTTCGATTGGTTTTGGGGAGCATCCTGAGCTTGGTTTACGGGTACTGCATCGGCAGGGTCGTAGAAATCGTCATCGTCATCTTCCATCATCATCTTGAACAGAAACAGGCAAATTCGTGATTGAGAGAAGTGTAGAATGACGAAAGTCTCGGCCAGTTTACTGCGGAGATCCAACGGCAGGCCGGGTTTGGCATGTTTGCTCTTCAGCTTCTAGATCAGTTCTATATGGCACCAACTACCTCTCTACTCAGTCATTGATACTTCAAGTTGCATTCTGATAATGACAATTCAATCATATATGTCTTCGACGACATTGGATTCTTACGTCTTTGACTGAAATTCGATCTACTATATGCGATCTTGATGTACCGTGGTCACGTGCCCTGTCTCCGTCAGTTGCTTCATGATCCCAATATCTCTCTACAACATCGGGATAGATGAGTTCTTGAATCTTGAAACGACCCTGAGTGACACAGTCACCGATAATACATACATCATGTCTCCTTCCGAACAACAGAGCAGCAACTCCACACCGCGCTTTACGAGCCAGACTACCTCCGCAGAAGATCTTCTCAAGTCGCAGACCGTCGGTCTAGTCCATCTTTCCGACTTTCGCAAGCGTCGCGCAGAGGTTCTAGAGCAAAAGGAACGAGAAGCACACGACAAGTCGCTGGGAAGATTTACATCCGGTAACTCAAGAAGTGCTACTCCTTCAACAGGCGATGTGACTGACAGGTGAGTTAAGGCGCAAGCTTCTTCCTTTCTCTTCCCTAACTGATCGCAATTACCTAGTAACTCGACCCCGCGTAGCGAGGGCCCTCCGAAGAAGAAGAAAAAGAAGCAACTCATGAAAAGCAAACTTTCTTTTGGTGACGATGAAGAGAATGATACCGGTGACGAACCTGTGGCCACTCCCCGCGAAACGAGCGTCCCCCGATCTGCGTCGAGGACACCTGCGGCCGACAGTTCTGCGCCGTCATCACGGCGCCTCACACCCAACCCCAATGCACCACCTCCTCCGAAAGCGCTGACGAAGGCTGCACTCAAGGCAGAAGCAGAGGCGCGTGATGCCCTTCGCAGAGAATTTCTGGCTATGCAGGAGGCGGTCAAAAATACCGAGATACTCATTCCGTTCATCTTCTACGATGGCACCAATATACCGGCTGGGGCGGTCAAGGTTAGGAAAGGCGACCCAGTATGGTTGTTTCTTGACCGTTGTCGCAAAGTCGGTGCCGAGTTAGGCGTCGCAGGTGCTAGCGGAGCAACAAAGGGAAGGAAAGACAATCGCCGGGAATGGGCCAGAATTAGTGTCGATGACCTTATGCTGGTCAGAGGAGAAATAATCGTTCCGCATGTAAGTAGCACCCGCTTTTGCTCGTTGTCATGTGCTGATTGACCCTCTAGCACTACGAATTCTACTATTTTATAGCCAATCAAGTACCCAGCTTCTCGAGTGCTGGTGGGCTATTGTTCGACTACTCCAACAAGCCTCCTCCAACAGCTTCTAGTGATAATCTACTGTCACGGCCTGATAATGACCAATTGGAAGGAGCCGATAAAGATGCGACGCTGACGAAAGTGGTCGACAGACGGTGGTATGAACGAAACAAGCACATCTTTCCAGCGAGCTTGTGGCGGGAGTACGAGCCGGGGCCCGAGTTTGAAGAGAAAATGCGCTCCACGCGGCGAGATGCTGAAGGAAACACCTTTTTCTTCTGAGCTGGCGGTTCTTGACCATATTGAAGAATGAGAGCCGTTGTGTTGAGAGCTATGAAACAGTGAGAGGAAAACAAATGTATATTCTTTAGATACCCAAACAGCCAACCTGGTTTATTATATCACTAAAACACGTTCGTCTAAGTGAATATTGATATGTATTGCTGCGAGTATCTTTGTCGTCGACAATCAATCTGCAGATGGTACAAGATTCTGAACTTGTGACCTACGCGTATTCAAGCTCCTTGAACCATTTCATCCACCAACTACAAGCTTCGACACTTCGACTATTATTGAACACAACCGTCACTTCAGACATGGACTTCTACCTTCGATGCAATGCTCTAAAATGTCGCTCCCAGTTGAAGGAGCAAGCAGTCGTCACCACCTGTTCGTAAGTCGTCCGTTCTACTGCCCTTTTTTCAGTCGGTTTTGATTAGTGAAGACAATGGATATTAAACTGCTTAGGCACATATTTTGTCTTCCTTGCGCAGATACTCTCGGTCTCTCACGTCCCACCCATGGCGAACGTCGCTGTCCAGCTTGCCAAACCGTCCTCGTGAATCCGGACGACGCCGCATCGACCGTTCTCAATCCCTCTGAAGACTATAAAACCAGTGTACTGAGTGGACTAGATCCGAACACAATTATGGAATGCGCTAGTCGAGCATTAGTATTCTGGGCTTATCAGACCACGCAGGAGATGTGCGTAGTTTGAGCTTTCCCATAGACTTCTGCGTCAATTTCCTCACAGGAGACAGATTCTACCAAGAGTATCTTGGAAAGTCACTTACGGAGAAATACTCCACGCTGAATACACACATGGACAGGGTGATTCATAACGCAAATACGGAGATATCGGCTCTCCAGGCTAAATTGAACGGTTCGTCATCTCCAGCAGATCCTCGAGGGAGGACAGGAACATTTGACTCGCAGTATAGACATGCAAGCAACAGAAGAGCAGCTTCGCAAAAAGAACCAGGAGCTTGTCGATCTATACCGAGAGAAGTGCAAGAAGTTCGCTCAGATCACCAATCTGTACAACCTGCTCAAGTCCCGTGCTATGAGGTCGCAAATGAAGACCGCTGCGTCGGACACTGTCTCGCAAACTTTGAATTCACTCGGCAACTCGGGAAACGAGCCCTCAGTATCAGGTTTGAGCAGACCAATGGGAGTATCGCGGCCGCCACAAACTCCAGCGTCTCGTCAAGGCAATCCGCATCCTGTCAACCTGGAAGGGGTGGAACAGCTACACCGGCATCAGCGGAGCGGAACTGGGAGCTCAAAAGGCACGAAGCAAAAGGTTGATGCCGCCGTGATGCCACCACCCACTGTGCCAGTGAACTTGAGAAACCGTATGCTCCTCTTCATCTACTTCCAGTGATCAAGATATTCTGATAGGTTCAAAGGAAGTATCCCCAATGCAACTCCACAACAACGAACTCGCCTCCCAGGCCCTGTACGTCCGTCGACTGGCATGTCAAGCTTACCGCAGGACAGTGCCATGTTCGAGCGATTTCATGACAACAATATCCCAGGTCGGTACTTAAACAGTGGCAACACCTCGCTGAATCGAGATAGTCTGGGTTTCCAGAGGCATGGTCCTGGTACGGCAAATGGACCGGGAAACGGCTCTTCTGTCTCGAGGTCTTCGTTATTTCAGAACACCATTATATAACCTGCTTTGATAATTCGGATCGCCCATCAGCATATCAGTCTGTGTATTTCTTCCAATGACGGATTGTTCGCTCTTTCCGGCGCGGTGATCATATATGTAGCGAGACAGAGGTATAAACTTGTCAGGTGCTGATGCTGCTTTTGGCAGATAGATATTAACTAAGGGTGCAAGAAATTTGAGTATATAAATATTCCTCGCACATCAATCTTACTTTAATTTCCCACTACTAGCCACGATTCATGCTGAACTCAGGAATATCGGGCTTCGTTGTGTATGTTTCACGCCAAGAACGGGCCCTCTATTCACTCGATAGGATTATATATCTCCAGCTTTCCAGATAGAACCCTAATTTCAGGGCATGTTTGAGACAGGTATCAAAACAATCGATGCCTCATAAGAATCAACAATTTAGCTTACGATCTCAGCCCAAGCAACTGGGATGGCTCTGTTAATGTTAGCTAAATCTTTCCGTCAGTGAATCCACGCTAGGACGTTCATGGGTGTATCTTCCTTTCGCCCGACGAGCTTGGCTATGGATAGTTCCCGCTCTGCATTCACCACCATTTCGATACCCCTTGCTCAGGAACCTTGTAGATTCATCCTGGAATCCATCATGGCTTCATATACGCGGTGTAGTCGATCAAACCAATCCTTCTATTGCATGAAGACCCGAGCATCATTAGCCTACGACAATGGTCTATGCCAACCTGAGTTTTGATAGTAAACAATCTACAATTCTATATACCTTCAACTTCCACACCATGGATACACCAGAGCCAAACAAACACAGAACCTTCAATTGCAATACAGTAAACCATAAGATCCTCATCCTTGGATCTCATTCCATGACGCTAGATCTTTCACTGCAAAGGCCCGTCCCGTAGCCACTCCGACGAGGCCGACCCAGACGTCACTGACTCCTCCACCTCGGGCGTGCGGAAGCGGGAAGCTGAGCTCGTCCAGATGGAAAAGGATTTCCCAATTCCACACGACCCTGGCCACAGCGCCCCCAATCTAGATGCAAGGCAGGGGTGCTCTGTGGAGAATGACTCTAATTTAATTTCCAGATCTGATGCGTCTGTTTAAGCTTATCTTGTTCCCCTGTCTTGTGTTTGAACTTGTAAGGTGTAATTGTTGGTACTGTTACTGTTTGTATGTATGGTGATGGTATCACGTGATGATTTGCTATTACTTCACTTTGGCCCATTGTGTTCTTACTTCTGCAGGTCATGAGTGCCAATTTTACTTACCGCTATTTATTTTCTTGGATCAAGACAATCTCATTTACAGCAAATATATCATTGAAGATCGTTATCATTGGATTAATTTGACTATCACTGCGCAGACCCATGCCTCGCAATCAACCAAGACTATAGTCTAAGAGAAACAGCTGACTCCAGCACAAATGGATATCCCCTTCTCTTCTTCAACCTTGTTAGTGCAGTGTCATGTGTCATACTGCTTGTATGTCCAGTCCTCGCTAGATAAGTAAGGAAAAAAGTTCCGTATCATGCCATGCGTTCAGAACAGAAAAAGGAAAACAAAATGTAAGTAGAAAGGAAACCGGAGAAATTAAATGATTAAAGCAAAGCAAATTTCTTTCCCATTTTTTAAGCAGATCCGAACTCCTTGATGTCGGTCTTCTTGCCTAGCAGAGCAAGAGGGACGATACCACTGACGTGCATATCAGGACCGTACACGTGCATCTTAAGACCCAGCTCCTCACCGACGGCCTTGATGTTCTTGAGACCCTCCTGGTAGTTGGGACCAGCACGACGAACCCAGATTTGGACATTGTGCTCGTTGAGAACAGGGGCGACCTCGCGGATCGCACGGATGACACCCTTGAACGTCGAGGCGACGTTGGTGAAGTTGGCAATACCACCACCGATGAAGAGAACCTTGCCGTCAGGGTGCATAGGTGCGCGCAGCATCAAGTCCAGAACGGTCTTGGCGTAGTTGTAGGTCTGAGTCTCGGTGGGAGCACCGGAATACTCACCGTAGTTGGCGAGCTCGCTGACGAAACCAGCGGAGGCAATGGCATCGGCGTACACGACGGATGCACCACCACCAGCGACCAGAGTCCAGATACGGCCATTGGCGTTGAGCACAGTCAGCTTGAGAGAAGCACCGGTCTTGGCATCCATGTCGGAGATGAACTTCTCCTCCTTGCTCAGCTCACGACCGAAGGGAGCGGGGAACTCCATTGGCGGGCCAGCATCAATGTTGACCTTGCCGTCCGCCTGGGGAACGGTGGCCAGGCCGAGGTTGACAGGGCTGCGGGCAATAGCCCACTTCGTACCGCACTCAAACTCAGCAGTCTGGTCAAGCTTAGCGGCAAGATCAAGGAAGTGCACCTCCGCGGAGGTACCCTCAGCGTTGGGAATGACAACCAGAGGATTGATCTCAAGGTAGGTGAACTGGCAGTCAACATAAACGGCGTAGAGACGGGAGATGAAGTCAACCAGGACATTGTGAACGCCCTTGGGCACCTTGCTCAAAAGAGCAGCAGCAATCTCATCGTTGGAGGGGTAGTTGTTCAGGTTTACGGGGATAAGAAGCTTCTCGGCCTTGGCATCGACATCACCAACGTCCACACCACCCTCGTGTGTGAAGAGGATCCAGTCACCCTAGAAACATTCATTAGTCTTCCGGATCGTCGCAAATTTGATAGTCGGCAGAATCTCTTACCTCTCGCACGGAGTTGATGTTGATGTAGTACTCAGTCTCCTGAGGGTGGGGAACGAAAGGCTCAACCAGGAACTGGCGAAGAACACCGGTGACAGTCTCAACCTTGATCTCCTTGCCAGCACGAGCCTCAATCCACTCTCTGGCCTCGGGCCAGGTCTTGTTCAGAGCGAGCAAACCGCTCTTACCCCGTCTCTTGATCAATTGATCTGGCTTAGCGACGAACTTGGCGCCGGGAGTCAGCAGCCAAGGGTAGACAACCTCCGTCTGGTCCAAGACATCCTTCACAGCGGCGTCTTCGGGGAAGTAGATGGAGGCAAGTCTGGGAGGAGGGTTGTGGGTGGAGGAAGGAGGGAGAGGAGTCGGCTTGATGACAGGAGCCCGGGTGAGGTGGTAGTTGAGGATGGCCTTGCCATCAGCTTCGAGAATCGACTTGGCGGACATGACGATAGAAATGGAGGATCAGAGAGGAGGACAAATAGAGGAAGGTCCTGACGATTGAGGAGAGGTTGTATGTAGAGAAGAGGAAGAGAGCCCGGATCAAGAGAACGATATAACAGAGAAGACGAAGAGGAGGGATAGGTCGGCAAGCAATCCACCCTGCACGAAGTGATTTGTTGGACTTGAAGTGGGAGAGAAGGAGGGAGAAGATGAAGGTGGATGGATGGATTGAAGAAGAGAGGAGAAAGAGGAGGGGATTCAGTGACCGCGGACGATTGACCTGAGTCCTCCGAAATAAAATAATTGAACAGTCAAGTAAACGCCCGGAAGGACTTTTGGGAGGGGGAAAACAGAAGTAATTTTTTTGGGGGGGAGCTGGCTCAAAATTACAGAGAGTCAGGTACGGTATTGAGGCCGAACTCGGAAATGACCAGATTTGGAGAGGGACCAGACTCAGAGATACAGAGTACGATACAGCATAGGCTGCGTAGTTGGCTTAAAGGCCCCGAGTTGTTGAGATTTAGTGGGGAAGAAGCATGGTGGGTCCTGCTAATCTCTTGCACTAAAAAGGACACTAACAGCCAAAAAGAAGTTCCAGGTGTCATCCGCGGACCGATCAAATTTAGCTCCCACCCTCTCCAGGGGGTTTAGAGCTTCCGTTGGGGATACTCGGTAAAGGGTATTTAGTGGCAGGACACACCCTACGCTGTAGCCTCAATACTGAATTCCAGCAAAAGGAGGGATCAGACACCGGACGGCAACTCTCGGGTCATTTGTCGCTGCGTGTCGTTTTTTTGTTGGATTATGCACAGCTACCGAATATTTCAAATTTCGAGTTTGTTGATAGAGCGTCGGCGAATTGCTGTGCGAGACCCGGAGTCACTTCCCGAGACTGTCTTGATGTCCAATCATGCCATCAAGTGCCTATCGGATCGTTGATAGGATCCATTCACACATGGAGTACATACCTTAGTATATGGTACACCTATCATTTATCTATTTACCATATAGACTTTAACAGCAAGGCACATGCAGACAACCCCCTCTGAAAGCTATAATCCAGATACTGAATATCACTGTACGTATTACCTAGATCGACAGTCCATGATGACAACACTGATCTTTCGGTGAGCAGATCATTAGCGTCCGGCGGTGGGAGTCTTAGGTTGGAGGGGCTCTCCTGTTTGCTGGGTCCGAATTAGTCCAAGAGGATCCACCTCTTAGCCCCAACCAAGCTAAGGGACGGACTATGGAGAACTTTGGCCGCTTTGCAACGTTCTTTTGCATGTTCGACATCCAGGTACAGAATCTACCGAGTACTCCGCAGTCCGGCTCCATCTTGTTAGGCATACACGATTCTGCTTGACTCCTGAGATGAGGGTATTGCACGCATGACCACGACTGAAAAGGAGGAGTTTCTAACAGGTTCATTCATCGGAGGAATTCGTAAAGAAATTCGGTGTTGAGATAGACAGGTACTCCGTAGTAACTATCAACCAGACTCCATATACGTATGCTGTCAAGCAACTCCGGACTTTACGATGCACGGTATCTTCTATGTATTCATCACCTTGCGTCTTGTTGAGGGTGTCTAGAATTACTCGCCCCTCTAGAATCTGCAGATACAATTCTTGAAAATAGATCGATTAATTTTGGGCTCAATTGCTAGGTAGCAAGCAACGCAATTACGTTCCCAAGTTCCCAACTGATCCAGCCTTCGACCCCCATCAAGGAACCACCGAGAGCAGCTTTGTCGCGGTATTGTACCGATACGGTATCGTCCGGAAAAGTAAGCTCCCCCTCAGCTCCCCGATATCGTTGAACCCCCTCGTCAGATAATTCAGTTATTTTATTTTAATCAGTTATTATTTTTATTATTTTTTCTTTTTTACAACAGTCCGGTCCTTTTTTCTTGATCCCGTCTTTTTTCCATCTTCAGAATAAACCACCCCCCATAATCCCCTTGGATCCCAATCCTCCCATCTTCTGGCTCTGCTTCATCATTCTCCTCATCCCCCTCTTCCTCACCTGTGCATCTTCTCATCCTTCGTGGCCCTTGTTCCCTCCGAGTTGCATTTGACCGACGAAGCGATTCCTTCCTTCTATCTCCTCATCTTGTATCTACCTACTTAGTAATACCTTCCGTCCTTTTTAAAGCCGATCTCAAAAAGCTCTGTTAACGGGTATGTCGCCATTCCAGGCTTCCTTGAACGAGCTCGAAAGCGTCATCTCCGTGCTTTTCTGAGCTCCCTGCATTGCACCCCGCTACCTTATCCTGACCAGTGCTGATCAATTCTTTGAGAAACAGAGTACTCAGCCATCATGCCCTCATCTGCTCCTCTTGCCGGCACCGCCAATGGCAGTCTCAACGCCAATGACAACATCACTCGCTTCGAACCCCCCAGCCGAGTGCTCTCTCCTCTCACTCACACTCTCTTCCACAACAAGACGAGATGCTTCGTATAGTAAGTGTTTCCTGGCTGCAGACAGGGTCAATGGCCGGGCTGATGGTTATCACAGCGGTATGCAGCCCAGAGCCGTGCAAGGCATGCTCGACTTCGACTTCATTTGCAAGCGTAGCACACCTTCGGTTGCTGGTATCATCTACACTTTTGGTGGCCAGTTCGTTAGCAAGATGTATGAAGATCCCCTTCATCTGCTACAATATTTCTATCAACAGCTGCTGACTATGGAATCGTAGGTACTGGGGTACCAGCGAGACTCTCCTTCCTGTCTACCAGGATGCGGCCAAGGCCATGGCCAAGCACCCTGACGTTGACACCGTTGTGAACTTCGCCTCCTCCCGTTCCGTCTACAGCTCCACCATGGAGTTGATGAACTACCCCCAAATCAAGTCCATCGCCATCATCGCCGAGGGTGTCCCCGAGAGAGTACGTCTTGCTTACATCTACCCGCATAGCGTAAAGAAGTTAACAATGGGTACAGCGTGCTCGTGAGATCATGGTTACTGCTAAGGAGAAGGGTATCACCATTATTGGTCCTGCTACCGTTGGTGGTATCAAGCCTGGTGCTTTCAAGATCGGTAACACCGGTGGTATGATGGACAACATTGTTGCTTCCAAGCTCTACCGCAAGGGTTCCGTCGGCTACGTTTCCAAGTCCGGTGGTATGTCCAACGAATTGAACAACATCATCTCTCAGACCACCGATGGTGTCCACGAGGGTATCGCCATTGGTGGTGACCGCTACCCCGGTACCACTTTTATCGACCACCTCCTGCGTTACCAGGCCGATCCTGATTGCAAGATCCTCCTCTTGCTCGGTGAGGTCGGTGGTGTTGAGGAGTACCGTGTCATTGAAGCTGTGAAGAACGGCACCATTACTAAGCCTCTCGTCGCCTGGGCCATCGGTACCTGCGCCAGCATGTTCAAGACTGAGGTTCAGTTCGGTCACGCTGGTGCCTCGGCTAACTCCCAGCTTGAGACCGCTGTGTACAAGAACAAGGCCATGAGGGAGGCCGGTATCCACGTTCCCGACACATTTGAGGAGCTTCCTCAGCTCCTCAAACAGGTGTACGAGGATCAGGTCAAGAAGGGCATCATCAAGCCTCAGCCCGAACCTCAAGTCCCCAAGATCCCCATTGACTACTCCTGGGCCCAGGAGTTGGGTCTTATCCGTAAGCCCGCTGCCTTCATTTCCACTATCACCGACGACCGTGGCCAGGAGCTCCTGTACGCCGGTATGCCCATCTCCGACGTTTTCAGAGAGGACATTGGTATTGGTGGTGTCATGTCCCTTCTGTGGTTCCGTCGCCGTTTGCCTCGCTATGCCAGCAAGTTCTTGGAGATGGTTCTCATGCTCACTGCTGACCACGGTCCGGCCGTGTCTGGTGCTATGAACACCATTATCACTACCCGTGCCGGCAAGGATCTGATCAGCGCCCTGGTCTCTGGTCTCCTGACCATCGGATCTCGCTTCGGTGGTGCTCTTGACGGTGCTGCTGAGGAGTTTGCCAAGGCCTTCGACAAGGGCATGAGCCCCCGTGACTTTGTTGACACAATGAGAAAGGAAAACAAGCTGAGTAAGTGACCTTTATGAATAACGAACATCTGTCGAGCAAATGCTAACATTTGCATAGTCCCTGGTATTGGCCACAGAGTCAAGTCCCGGAACAACCCTGATCTGCGTGTCGAGTTGGTCAAGGAGTTCGCCAAGAAGCACTTCCCTAGCACCAAGCTCCTCGACTACGCCATCGCTGTCGAGACCGTCACCACCTCCAAGAAGGACAACCTCATTCTGAACGTCGATGGTTGCGTTGCTGTCTGCTTCGTTGACCTGATGCGCAACTGTGGTGCTTTCTCGCCCGAGGAAGTTGAGGACTACATGAAGATGGGAGTTCTCAACGGTCTCTTTGTCCTTGGCCGCAGCATTGGTCTCATTGCTCACTACCTCGACCAGAAGAGACTGCGCACCGGTCTGTACAGACACCCTTGGGATGACATCACCTACCTGCTCCCCACCCTGCAGAAGGGTGGTGCCGAGGGTCGTGTCGAGGTTAACATTTAAGCGTTCTATTATACCTTTTAATATTTCCTCCTTTTCCTTTTTCTCTTGTCATTACCGAACAGACCCGTGGCAGCCCACTGGATGATTCTGCGGAATTTGCGGTTTGACTCATAAAATCCGTCATGCTGACGTTGGAGTTATGATGGCCTGTATTTTGCATTTGGTTCTGATTCTTCCCGAGTTTCACTATTTTTCGACATTACAATGTGTATTGCGCATATGTGGCATGACTAGCTGATAGGCTAATGAATTCAACGCAATAATTGAGACAGAACCTACGACTAGGTATACGAGCTTTTAATGAACTTGACTGCCCTATTTCCGGCCAGCTTTGCTTTTCACGTACTGCAGTATGGGAAGATTATCTTAGGCCCTTGGGGGATAATAACGACTGCATCTTTATAATGCCTTCAAACCGAGGGGCTCGTGAAGCCGCAGCCCAAAGGTTTACAGATAAGTTCTTGCTTGGCATTTGCATAGAGATGGTTTCATACTATCTTGCGTGAAGCAGGGGAACACAATGACAAAATTAAACCGCATAATTGTGGAATATCTCTTCAAAGATCCATATGCTGGAACTGTAAATAGCAGACAATGTTGATACTGAAGTAATTCGGAATCTAAACTTCCCCACCGGTAATTGGTCCGAGCTCCTGCTATCAAAAGTTTATCGATATCGCGACTCAACTTACAAGAATTGAGATACCGAATTCAATCTCAAGATTCCTCAACATTCGAGCTCAGCATAAGGGGCCCCTTCCAATTACCGCAACGAAAGAAAATACGCATACTCGAAGAAGTAGAGATCCAAAAACATCAATAAAGACAAACCGACATGGTCCGCGTCAAACATCGCTACCTCCTCCTCGACATCCTCTACCCAGAACGCTCCTCCTGGCCCACCTCCTCAACGAGCAAAACGAAATTGCCACCGCAGGCTGACGCCCAGCTCCGGATCCACTCGCCTACCTCCGATGCGCTGACGCCCGCCTTACTCGCGAAGATGGTGAGGGAGGAAGTCGCGGAGATTTTCGGGGACTGGGGCGTCGGTCGGCTGGGTGGTGTTGGGGCTGGCGGTGTTAGTGGTGCGTCTCAACCCCCTTATCTCCCTTGGTTTCTGGTTCTGACATGAGTGGATAGTCAAGTATTTGTCGCCGGCCACGTCGACGGCTATCATCCGGTGTCCGCGCGCATCGTTCCGTCTCGTCTGGACGGCTCTTACGTATATGTCGCAAGTACCAGATTTTAATAACGGTGGAATGAAGAGGGGTGCTCCTGCGGTTGGGGTGAAGATGCGCTCGTGTGTTTTTCGTGTTGTGAAGGTGTCTGGGACGATGAAGAAGGTGGAGGAGGAGGCCATTCGGCGGGCGCGCAGGGAGATCTCGCGGTTGAAGGGGGCGGATGAGATGGGGGTTCTGGAAGGGTTGGTCGGGGGTTGGAGGGCCGGGAGGCTGCGGCTGGTAGTGGGTTGGCTGCTGCCTCTGTGCGAGATGTGATGGATGAGGACGATGTGGATATAGAGAGTGATGATGATGTGGATTGACCAGGTTCCATCGAATGGGCGATGTGTGTTCTCTCGTTGCATCATCAGGAGTTTGTGTTTGTTAGATTGTTTGTTCATTAGAGATACCCTATAATACATGTACAGATAGACCATGAAGGACTCAAATCATGACTTTCGTATCACTTTTACGCCGCTGTCGGGGATTGAGCTTCTGAACTTGGCCAGATCGGCATCAAAATCATCATTCCCTCTCGGCGGCGGCTGTGCAGCCTGTTCCCTGGCTTTCGCCTCGGCCTCGAGCTCACTGCGCTCTTGCGCGTCGTATTCGTCCCTCGCGTCGAGCCACCGTTCCTGGACGTCTCGGATATCCATGGTCCCTAGTCCTTCCCGGACAGCCACCTGCCAGATGGTATCGTTTGCGCCCTCGGCTGGCCCAAATGCATACCCACTTGCCCTATCAATAATTCGCAGCAGATTCATCATACTCTTCTTGTCCTCAACGGCCAGTGTCTCGAATGCCACGAGCCCGAATTCTTCTACCAGGTCGATGATGGCAGTGTTGAGGGCGCCAAATTTCGCATGCGATAATCGTGATGACTCGGCCTCCAGGTGTGGAAGGAGATATGAGAGGTCTTGGACTTCCGTGTAGAAATCGAGGTTGAAGGGTAGCGGGGCGTAGTTCGAAAGGTTATCGACTTTAGTGAGGACGTTGATGTGTGGGAGATCCATCTGGAGCATGGCGCGGAGGGAGAGAAGGAGAGCGGATATATACATCGATGGTAATGTGAGGTTGTATGAGTCAATGAGGTGTATTACGATTAGCTGTAGTATTCGATGTCAGCAGGAAAGCCTGTGCTAAGATAAAAGATGAACTGACTCTATAGCCCAGTTTTTGTATTTTGAAGAAAATATTCCGCAACGACGAATGGTGCGTGAAGATTTCAACCTGGCCCGGGCAATCGAACAGAACATAATCCTCTATTCAAAAAAGTATCAACTATCTTGCTCTAGGTCGTATAGCAGTAAATTCAAGGATAGGTCACGGCCTACCTCCGAGGTCCTTCAGTCCCTCTTCCAGCCATTCAAAGTTCTCCTCCAGTTCCTCCAGCGCATATAAGACACCACCATTAGGACCTAGTTGATCCTCGCTCATGATCTCCTCCAGCGTGACGAGGTCGCGGACGTCCAGCGCACACGGATACGATGTCTTGTCATTCGCGGGGTCCAGGTTCACGATGGAGCACTTCCGGCCAATAGCTCCCAAGAACTGATGCATGCCGTTGCAGTATGTTGACTTCCCCGCGCCCGGGGGCCCTATTACCAGCTGCGCAAAAGGCATTTTGAACTGTGAGCGGGAGAAATATGTGGCAGGAAGCGATATAGTATTCTCCAATTCTCGATGGCTTAAGATGCAGCGATGGCGGGGGAGGGAAATATGTCAAGGCGGTATAAACGGGCAGAAAACGACCAAAGGCGCAAAGCTTCGATGACGCCGGGCGATCGACGATAGTGATATAGCTTAGGACTGAACCGGTCACTTTCTCAGAAGAATCTAAGCACAATATGGCATCGAGTAAGCTCATTAAAAAACCGCTGTACATGCTAGTACTGACCTCAATCTAGATCAATTCACCGTCGCAAATCCGCCTACAGACGCCATCTCCGCTTTGAAGTTCTCGCCGGATCCAAATTCAACGCGAATTGTCGTTTCATCATGGGACAGAAACGTCTATCTTTATGACCTGCGGGACGAGAATGGGAATGTCGGTGAAGGAAAGTTGTTACAAAAGTTTGAACATCGTGCGCCGGTGCTAGACGCGTGTTTTGGCGAGAATGAGGATGTGATCTACACAGCGGGTTTGGATTGGGACGTCCGAAAGTACGTTTTCCTCGCCGCTTGGTGCTTTCCTTTGACTGGATGGCTTGAGTACCTTTATCTAATATATGGCAGGATCGATGTCACATCATCTACACAGATTGTGCTTAGCAGCCACGACGCTGGGGTCCGGTGTGTCGCCTACAGCAAGGAGCATAACATTGTCATATCTGCATCGTGGGACTCGACGTTACATGTGCACCGCGTGAATACTGAAGCCGACTCGATCCCCGCAATCATTCCTCTCCCTTCAAAACCTTTCTCCATGTCTCTCACCGCCACGAAACTCGTTGTTGCTATGGCCTCGCGCTCCCTCCACATTTACGACTTGAAAGCATTGGCGCTCCTCACCGACCAATCGGACGCCGCATCTCCGAATAAGGTTGAGATCGAGCCGTGGCAGCGACGAGAGAGCAGTCTCAAATCCATGACCCGCTGTGTCGCGTGCATGCCCGATGACGCCGGCTACGCATCCTCGAGCATCGAGGGACGAGTCGCAGTCGAATGGTTCGATCCGTCGGCTGAGTCGCAAGCCCGGAAATATGCTTTCAAGTGTCATCGACAGACCGCTGATGATGTTGACGTCGTATATCCGGTCAACACACTTGCGTTCCATCCCATTCATGGAACGTTCGCGTCTGGTGGTGGTGATGGTGTCGTTGCACTTTGGGACGGAATTGCGAAGAGGAGAATCAGGCAGTATCAGAAATACCCGTCGAGCATTGCTGCTGTCGATTTCAGCGGCAATGGAAAGTACTTGGCGATTGCTGTTAGCCCTGGGTTCGAAGACGGAAAAGACGATGTCGCAGAGGGAACTGTCCGAATCTATGTGCGCGAATTGGGCGAGACTGAGGCGAAAGGAAAGGGTGCGAAATAAACATTATACTGATAATTAGAGTCCCTTTTGCTTTATGACTAGCGTGTGGAATTAAACTTGGGTAATAATTACAGTAAAACAAAGCGGTCCATTCTGGATCTTCAGCCGCGGTGGAATTCGACGGCAAGAAGTCATGCAGGGAGATTTATGGTATCATATATATCAAAGTCGCCTTTTTTTGCTGTAATCCATGGTGCGGAGTATATGAAGGAACATCATGCGGGAAGAAGGCTACGAAATGGCCTTCCTGACCGATACTGTGCCGTCCGGCATGCCAAAGTAAGCGGCGATGGGCTTCTGGCCTCCAATGCCTCCAAGGGCCTGAGCCTGAGGTCCAGTCACGCCGGAGAAAATGCCAACCTCCAGCACGCCCGCAATCATCTTAATCGCCTGCGCCAGGGCATCGACCTCCCAGATTCCTCCCTTTCCATTCCCATCTTTGCCAGCGGCAACGTCAGCCTTGGTGAGCAATGGTGGGAAAGGAGCGTCAATGATGTAGAAGTCCTGATCCGTCTTCAGGGGTCCCTTGGAGGTGCCGCTGAGCCGAATGGCGGGCTGAATGCTGCCCAGCTCTCGCAGTTTGGTTAGGACACGAGGGGCCGCGATAGGTGCCACCTCAATGGGAACGTATTTCCAATTCGTGAGGAGACGAGTCTGGAGTTTGCGCGAGTCTGGACGTTGAGTGTTAGCGATGTTTTGTCTTTCATTCCGGTTTCCGCCGCATGACGGCGTGAGTCATCGCTAACCTGCCACGCAGATGAACTCTTTGGCCTGCAGAGCCACAATTTTCTCCTGGAAAAGACAGGCGCCGCCGCCCTTTATTAAGTTGAGCTCATCGTCGACCTCGTCCGCGCCGTCAAAGGCGACATCAAGTACGGTTCCTTCGGGTAGCGAATCAAACTCAACTGCTGTCAAGCCGGCGGAAAGGATGAGCTGTTTTGATTGGAAGCCGGTGGGGACATATCTTGTCATAGAGGTATCAATGCCAGATTCCTTGATAGCCTCGACAACATATACAATAGTAGACCCGCTGCCGATACCGACAAATTTGGCATCTTTGGGGTAGTGGTTGGCGACAGCGGCCTTGCCAGCGGCGCGCTTTGCGGCCTCGATTACACTAGCCATTGTGGACTGAAAACGAGTCGGAGGGTGATGAATGGGGGAAAGGGTAGGATAGATGAGATGGGGTCGGGCGCACGAGATAAATGAGGAGAAAAGGAACAAGGGCCGTGTCCTACAGAGCATAGATAGACAAATTAGATTGAGAGCTGACAGGCATGCATCCCTTGTGGAAGGTTTTCTAGGGCCCGCAGCTGGAGCCAAAAATGGCCCCGATACAATCGCCAGAGAACAACCCCCGGTGTGGGGGAGTCCAGTATGAGAACCAAAGAACTTTTCCGTGGAGCCACACGGCCACAACGAATGAACTTACAGAGGAAAAGAGTGCACTCGAGGCAGAATCACCGACATGACATGACAAATGAAATGGTTCAATGGGAGATAAGATATTCCAATTGAGCCAACCACAGAATAAGTTGATAATGCGCCTGTTAGTGTCAGGTACATCAATTTTTTGACGGCGGGGTTATGGCGTCATACCATATATTCCGTAGTGCCTTAGGTTTCTCAGGCCACCACATCACACGGGCCGTCTGGCTCCAGGTCATGTGATCATATCACAGCTATGCCTGACAATCATCAACACAAGCAGATGCATTGCTATAATCTTCGGTGAATAGGGCCTGTCGATTTTGCCCTTATATTGGCTGTCACCTTTTTCTCTCGATTGGAGTATACCTTAATACTTAGACCGACCTAAGCAACTATATCAACTACGCATTATGACTGACACTTTCCCTGGTGCCCTGGTAGGGCCATCTTCGAAAGAGAGGAAGTATGACCGCCAGCTACGTTTGTGGGCTGCGAGCGGGCAGCAAGCTCTGGAAGAGTCTCGTGTCTTATTAGTCAACTCCGATGGTCCCTGGGGGAATCAAGGCACTGGGGTATCAGGCGTGGCTGGCGTCGAAACCCTCAAGAACCTTGTGCTCCCCGGTATTGGTGGCTTCACAATTGTAGATCCTGCTGTTGTTACAGAGCCTGATCTGGGAGTGAACTTCTTTCTCGAGGAAGAGAGTCTGGGAAAATCCAGGGCTGAGGAAACCTGCCGCCTGTTGAGAGAGTTGAACCCAGATGTCGAAGGAAGTTTTCGTTCAAAGGTATATGACTGCCACTTCTACCTTGGCTTTGTGAATTGACAACGCTAACATAAATGACTTAGTCCATTGCAGAAGTCTTGCAACAGGAGCCAGACTTTCTTGCGCAGCATAGGCTGGTGTTGATATCCGGACCTGTGAAACGATCTACTTTAGATACTCTTTGCAGCGCTGCCAAGGCACTGAAT